ACGAGGGTTGAGAAAGCTTGACCCCTTTAGTCATGTAGTATTATGGGGATGGTAAACAAATAGAATTGGATTAAAATAAATCAATAACAATTTTTACTACATATGAGATGTAGAAAAAGGCTTGAATTGAATCATTTGCTGGGAGCTGGAGAGACACGACATCATCATGCACGGCATTTGAGCAAGGGGGCATTCCGAATCTTAATGACTCGCCAAAAAATCACGCATGTAGGGGGTACAAAAAAAGAAAGGAAATTGGAGAAAACGAAAAAAAAGCCAACCTGGAAGAGTGTACTCCGTAAGGGAAAAAGAAAGAAAAAAAAAACCAAATAAAAACTCTGCTTGGAAATTCGCCATTCGGCGGGTTCTACCATTCAGAGTGCCGAACGGCAATTGTCAACGCGGCCAACTTGGAACATCTCAACCCTCCACTCTCTCGGGGAGTATGGGGGGCAATGGGAGCAATGGGAGCCATGGGGCCACACCGGGGGCCCAATTCTATTTTTCCCATCGTTTCCGCCCGATGATTTTCCCATCAGGTAGCTTCCGTGTTCCTTTTCCTATCGCAGACGCAGACCTTCTCTTACACACACGGCAGGCTCCGCACGCCGTCTCCCGTACGGAGATGCCCTGCTAGGTATAGTGCGGGCCCCGCTCGAGTTAGGGCTTCTGGAAGTTCGATCCCTGGAGTTGCTGACCAATTATTGATCCCCCCACCCCCTTTGATGGATTCGTAGAACTAGGATTAGTGCTCGGAGTTTAGCCTGTACTCAATTTGTATCAATTGGCACCGAGAAGATCCACTTCGGCACCAACTGCGGCTCTGGAAGCTCGCTGAGGTGGAGACCCTGCCCTTCGGCGGATCCATCGCGGTGTCTCCCCGCCTATGTAGCCACTCATAGCCCGGTATTTTTATTCGGAGAATGCAGTTCGAGACCTACCGTGTACTCTACTGTCCAGTCTTCAGTCCTGCAGAGAACAGCATTATAGACTCCTCACACGGGACCCGCCATACCGTGTATCCCTCTTCACGCTGCAGCAGCACCCGAGATGGTCCATGTTGTCTCTCCTTATACCAGCAGACATGCTGACGTTTACCGGGTACAAGTTGGTTGTTCTGGAGCGTACTCCGTACAATTGCCCTCCATCCAGCCCTGCTCCACCCTTGCTCAAGCTCCCCGATCTGATCCATTCCACTCCGCGCGCAACGGTTCGCTGCCATCACCGAATATCCACATCCAGGTCCCACGCCGCGACCCCTTCCCAACCCCCGAATCTTTCCGACTCTCCAAATCATGCTTCGTCTTTTACTGAGCCTTGACCGTCCTTCCCCTCTTGCCGTCCCGGCGGATTCTCATTGCTCGGAATGTCGTGGATGATGTGCGCTCGTGTGTCCCAACGGACGCCTAGTGTGTTCCGCGCACTTAAAACCATGCCACGCTCGCCTCGTCTTCGCCTCTCTTCTTTCTATCATTCTTCCCCTTCTGCGACAAGTAAACTTGCACGCACTCAGTCAGACACAATGGCACGATTTTCTCCCCAACAAAGCCGGCCAGTCCATGCGACCCCGTTTATGAACCACTCCAACACTTCCTCGTAAGTTTCAAATTTTGACGCTTGCTATGGAATGGCATGGCATAGCATAGCACAGCACATCATCTTTCTCCGCAGAATCAATTCTAATATCACTGTGACTTTCCTAGTGACGCCAACTATGACACCGCCAACCCTTCATACATTCGCAAGTACCTGCGCACGTACGGCCTCACTCCTCCTCGCGCCGAGAGCTACGAGACCCAAAAGACACGATGCCTGGCCCAGCTGGGTCTGAAGAACACCTCCATCGACAAGTTCCAATACCTCAGCACTCTGCGCAAAAACAATGTCCACCTTTTCTACCGCCTGGTCACCGACCACCTCAGGGTACGTCAAGACATTCCCCATCATCAGAGTCATAGAGTCATAGTCGCCATCACTTTCATGTGATTGGACCGCATGTGCTAGTCAGAAAAGGAAAAGGCACTAACAACTCCTGCAGGAATTGACGCCCTTGATCTACACTCCCGTGGTTGGCGAGGCCTGCCAGCGTTGGTCCGAGATCTACCAACAGCCCGAGGGTGAGTTAAATTAACCTAGTCCCATTGGAGCGGTTCCGAAGCTTTTCGGAAGCGCCTCCTCTTCCCCACGAATTCAAACCGGAGTTAGTGCTAACATGACTCAAAATAGGCATGTACTTGTCCTGGGAGGACCGCGGCAACCTTGCTGCTGTCATTGCCAACTGGCCCCAGCCCAATGTTGAGATCACATGTATCACCGATGGTTCCCGTATCCTCGGACTGGGTGATCTGGGTATCAACGGTATGGGTATCCCCATTGGTAAATTGGCGCTTTACACTGCCTGCGCTGGTATTCGTCCCGAAGCCACTCTTCCCTTGACTCTCGATCTCGGAACTGGCAACAAGACTCTCCGGGAAGACCCGCTCTACATGGGTTCTCGCCGTGAAAAGATCAGCCCCGAGGAGGAGCGCGAATTTATGGATGAGTTGATGTCTGCTCTCACCGAGCGCTGGCCTGGGTAAGTCACAAGTGTTTTCCGTCTTGCTTCTTTCTTCTGCATACCCATTTTCGTCATCACCCCTCGTGTGTTTCCGGGTAGATCTGATCAGATCCACATATTTCCCCGATCATGCTCACTATTCCCCCTCATCTCTCCGCGTGGACTCCCCTCATCCGAAATCACCCCCCGTATATTCCCCCTCACTGGGCTGGGACTCGGCTAATCGAAGCTTATCTAGTATTGTCATCCAATTCGAGGATTTCAAGAACCCCTTCCCCGCACTGGAGCGTTACCGCGACACCTACACTTGCTTCAACGATGATATCCAGGGTACTGGTGCCGTTATCCTCGGTGGTGTTATCAACGCCGTCAAGCGTTCCGGCCTCCCCTGCAAGGACCACCGTGCTGTCTTCCTCGGTGCCGGCTCCGCTGGTGTCGGTGTTGCCAAGCAGATTGTCGAGTTCTTCATCCGCGAGGGTATGACCGAGGATGAGGCCCGTAGCTGCTTCTACCTTGTCGATACCAAGGGTCTTGTTACTGCCGACCGTGGTGACAAGCTCGCCGACCACAAGGTCTACTTCGCTCGTCAGGACAATGCTGGCCAGCAATGGAAGACCCTCGAGGAGGTCGTCAACCACGTCAAGCCCACCATCCTGATGGGTCTGTCTACTATCGGAGGCGTCTTCACCCCCGAGATCCTCCGCAACATGGCCGACTGGAACACCACCCCTATCATCTTCCCCCTCTCCAACCCTTCTTCCAAATCTGAGTGTGACTTCGAGTCCGCCGTCAAGTACACTGATGGTCGCTGCCTCTTCGCCTCCGGTTCTCCCTTCCCCAACTGCACTTTCACCAACTCCGCTGGCGAGACCAAGACCTACTACCCCGGCCAGGGTAACAACATGTATGTCTTCCCCGGTATCGGTCTGGGCAGCATTCTGTCCAAGTCCGTCCGTGTCACCGATAGCATGATCTACGCCTCCGGCGAGTCTCTGTCTGCCGCTCTGACCGCCGAGGAGCTTGAGCGTGGTCTGCTCTACCCTGACATCACCCGCATTCGTGAGGTTAGCATCGTTGTCACCCGCAAGGTCATTCGTGCTGCCCAGAACGACAAGGTTGACCGCGAGACCCACCTCCGCAACATGTCTGATGCCGATCTGGAGAACTGGATCAAGTCCCGCATGTACGACCCCCACACTGAGGTCCGCGAACTCGAGCGTGAGGTCGGCCACCTGCTCTCCAGCCTGGGCAACCTCTCCCCGCTGATGAACGGTTCCCCACCGACGAGAACGGTTCTAAGCTGTAAAAAGGTCATCCTCGACCACGATCTTTCTTGCGGTCTTCAGGACTGGATCTTGTCGATGGCGTGATCGAAATTTTAGTGCATCTGTTCCTCTGTTCTAATATCCGCGCCAGGCTCACTGCGTGAGAACCCCTGCACCTATTCATCTTTCAGCGTTGTTAATTTTCGGACCGGGTCTTTATTTCCTCTTCTCTTGTTTTCTTTTTTTTACCTACCACCTTTTGTTTGTTTGCCTTGGTCTTCTCCTGGAATACCCTGCCATCACGTTTCATTCCGTCGCATGGCCCTGCATTGGTAGGATAGCAAAATCATGAATGAAAGCAAATATATCATCCACATCTCCTCCAACAAAGTAAAAGAAGTAGCAAGTCCATTGGGCTCGAATAGGTTTTAAATATTTTCATCTTTTCCGTGGCTAGCCGTTCCATTTGTCCTTCGGGCCGAGGTGATTCCCTTCATCGATGCAGAAAGCCTGTATACATTCAAAAGTAGCGAACACTGCAAACTTGAAGACTGGCTCGAAATTTATCTATCCAAATAGATCATCAAGGACAATACTATTATTTCCTCGATCTCGAAAACTCACACCCAAGTCCATCCAAATTGAAACTAGCCTGAACCGATCTAAATCAGCCCAATGCCACCGGGTCCCTCCCGAATCTTCACATGCGCGGAGTAACTCAAACCTCCGACTGTCCAGCCCCACAGTCCAAACCCCCAGCGTAATGCATACCTTAATTGTACTCTTGGCTGCGGCTTTTGTGAAGACCCACAAATACTCTGAATGAGTTTAAAATTGTTACTGAATAGTGGGGATGGTGCTATGATCATTCTATCAATAAAAATCTGGGTCTGCCCGGATGGATTATCTCCCCGCGTGGCAAGTGGACCCACCGAGGTTCCTTTTCTGCCCTTGGATTTTTTTTGTTTAATTGATCGAGCCGGGCTGTCCTGCTTTTCAATCGTGGGTATTTCCTTTAAGTCAACTGTAAGAAATTGGCTTGAGTAGAATTGGATTGTGTTTCCTTTGGTCAACTATCACTGCTGAGCAGCTACTCCCATAACCGCAACTCGTTTCCGCCACCATAAACATTACACCGAATCGTCGGCTTGAAAACCTTAGGGAACCACACTATCAAAATGCCTTCACCACTATCGGACCCCGTCAAACTGCCATGCGGTCTTGTCCTACCAAACCGGCTATCAAAGGTTTGCAATCTCTCCTCTTATCCCATCCACCTTCACGGGCCAGAAACACAAACTAACACATCGACAGGCTGCAATGGCCGAAATGATGGCCAAGTCCCACCACCCAGACCCTCTCTGCGAGGCCTATGAAAAGTGGTCCACCGGCGGCTGGGGCAGTATTCTAACCGGCAACGTGCAAGTCGACATCAACCACCTAGGAAGCCCCTTCGACCCAGCCCTGAACGGCGAATACACCGGTCCCGACGACGAAAACAAGGCCCTAGTAGCCCGCTGGACAAAGTATGCTACCGCATGCCAGCAACATGGCACACCCGCCCTGAGCACAAATCTGCCACCCAGGTCGACAATCATTTCGCGTCGCAGGCAAGCGCGGGATTTTCGCAAACACAATTGCTCCCTCCGCAGTCCCGATTTCTGTAGGTGACTCGTGGCTGGAGTGTTTCATTGGCGCCGTTGCTTGGACAAAGCCTCGTGCTATGAGCACTGCCGAGGTGCAGGGTGTTATCTCGCAATTTGTTGATACGGCGAGACTCATGGCCGATGCCGGATTTTCGGGTATTGAGCTGCACGGAGCGCATGGGTATCTTATTGGTATGAAATATGAATGGATCCATACATAACCCTGTCTTGAGACGTGTTGTGCTGATTTGACTCATAGATCAATTCCTAAGCTCAAAGACAAATCTCCGAACCGACGAATTCGGCGGCACGCCCGAAAAACGCGCGCGCTTCGTCCTGGAAATAATCAAACAGACCCGCGCGATTGTGCCGCAAACCTTCGCCATCGGAATCAAGCTCAACTCGGCTGACCACAGCTCCGCAACCTTTGAAGAAACAATGACCCAAATCGCCCTCCTTGTTGAAGCCGGCATCGACTTTATGGAAATTAGTGGCGGCACTTATGAAGATCCGCAGATGATGGGATATCCCAAGGCGGAGATTCCAGTGAAGTCAGAGCGTACGGCTGCGCGCGAGGCATTTTTCCTTGAATTTGCAAAGACTGTTCGCGGAAGACATCCTGATCTGATTCTCATGTTGACGGGTGGGTTCCGGACAAGGGCTGGGTGTGTTGCTGCTATTGAGGATGGGGCTTGTGACCTTGTTGGTATTGGACGACCTGCTGCTGTTGAGCCTGCCTTCCCGCTGCTACTTTTGGACGAGAGCGTTAAGGATGAGAAGGCAGTTTTGCCTTTGATTAAGGTGCCGCCTCCTTGGTATGCGAAGTTTTTGCCTAGGAACCTTATTGGAGCTGGGGCCGAGACTGTAAGTTTCTTTTTTCTTTCTTCTTCCTATCTTTCTCTTCTTTTCTCGGGAGCCTTCTTTTGGCTCCTCGACATTTATTGAATTTGAGCTGACTCAAACTGCTATAGACTTATTATGCGGCGCAAATTCAGCGCTTTGCTCGGGGCCTGGCTACGTATGCGCCGGCTTTGTGAGGGACGGGATGTAATCTTGTTTGAGGCGGTTCTATGGCCTTTGATTGTTCTTAGATTAATGGAATATAAGTGATATTACGTACACTAGGCTTAGTTTCACACGTATGCAGCTTTGACCTTGATTTTCACTGTTCTAGTATCCATCATTAAAGACTCGAAAGCCATTTTAAAGAGTGGTCGACCATTTGTTTAAAACATATCGACCAGCATGAACAATGGCCACTGTCAAAGATTTTTCAAAGCGCCCCTCGGGTCTTGCTGGTTACAAAGTTTTTTCTTTATTCGGTCTCTTTATCAAGGAATCAAGTAATACTAAGCTACGGTCGATTCTCGAGTATATACGACCATATTACCCCAACGAATTGGGATGTAAACCAACATAACGGCAGAGCTTTCTTCAATTACAGACAGCAATTATGAATCATATGAAGGCAAACTGGGCCAGACTTTGTGGCAGACAAACTATCAATGAGCGTAATAGAAACCAACCTAGAGGGCAGATTCCGCTGTACGCTTTGAAGGTTGGAGGAAGACCCAAAACCCAAGGAGCGAGCTCAGCGAATATCTCAGGAAACATCGCGGCCGCACGGGCCGCAGCGGCTGGAACTGGTGAGGATTTGGACCTTGAAGCATACTTTAGCGATTTAGACGACCAGCAAGAGCGGAATGAGCTTTCGAGTTTGCTTGAAAGTTCGGAAGAGGAGTCTCCAGCCCCGACTGTTGAGACTAAGGCGCATATGGAGGGAGCGCTCGCGGCGGGAGAAAATATACTTACCGAGGGAGGTACTAGTGATGTGCCTTCGAAGAGACGTGGCGATGGCGGTGATAGCGACGATGATCAGCCCCGAGCAAAAAGAAGACCAATTTCTGCAAGGAAAACGGGCTCGGGGAGAAAACAGGAGTGAAAGCAGAGTTGTTTTGAAGAGGAAGTGTATGAATCATCGTACTCGCCTGCTTTATTTCTTTTTGTGTTTGTGAACTCGCTCGGTTGTTCATAGGTATGCGTCAGCGCGCTTTATTCGGCTCTTCATCATTATTAGTACGGAAGACGAGTATTTCAGATTAGTTTATTTTACCAGAACCGTTTATAAGCTTTAAGTCCATTCATTTAAGTGATGTTCCTTTCCCTAGTATATTTACATGAATAAAAGTCATAAATCATAAATCTTCCTCCTTTTCAAAGAGCGGCCACATATCTGGCTCATTATGCGGCTTCATCTGATCCAACTGCCCCTGCAAGTCCTCGTTTCCTTGCAGCAGAGCACTCACATATTTTGCCGTCTCATCGAGTATATACTTTCTCGTGAAATTATGGTTCTTCAGCCCAGGGACCAAGTCAGATAGATCTTGATACCCTCGCGTGACCGCCTCTCTCCTTTTCTTTTCCGATCGACAGTGACATAATTGTTGCCCAGGCTTTTGAACACACTTTCGCTTCTTCTTTGGTGGCGCAAGATCCTCCTCCTGCCTCGCCGGTCGCTTTTCTTCTTTGATTATTTCCGGCGGGCTACTCGCATCGAGCGACGCAGCTGTCGACAGGGAGGCGGATCTTAACGAGGGTGTTTTCGTTGGGATATCGGTTTGTAGGTCGTTAGAAAGGTCGAATCTGTTCAAACGAATGATATCCGGTTGTTCCGAGAAGAAGTTTGGTGTGTGCGTAGAGAAATCGAATTCGTAGCCAAAGTCGACGGTGACACTATTGGCAGCATGCATCATGTTGCGCATCAAGTTCTGAGTTACACGCTCCTCGGTCCAAGTTCCGATCGGATTGGAGAACCCATGATAACAGAAGCTGGGGTCGGATCCCCACTGTAAGCCGGTCTCAAGGGGCCAGCGCTTCTGCTCTTTGGTGTCGGGTGGGCAGCATGCTTCGTTTTCATGGGAGTAATCGCGAGTCTGATGTTCGGTGTGCATTGGTGATGGTGTTTCAGGAGATATATAGTGGACGTAAAATAGTTTTTCTCAGGGTGTGCATGTATTTCTGCATTTGTGGGGGTGTGAAAGAAGTTGAATCCGGGGGAGACCAGGGGCAGCGGTTGTCTTTCACAAATGGTCAGCTCCTAAAAGGGCGCCAAGTGGCATGAGATGACATATGAAAGTGGCACGGGGTCTAGCGTTGGAACTAAAGTTTTGTTGAGAAAGAAGTGACTTATGATAGGAGATCCAAAATCTTACTTGGGTGTGCTTGCGAGGAGGCCCCAGTCATACTACGTCAACACCGGATCGCACCCGGGCGGCTTGCAAAATGGACCGGGTGCATCCCGGACGAAACCCCCTGGCCATATTTGCTCGGGGTTTTTTTTCTGTCGTACAATCGCCATGCAAAAGAAGCTTATTTGCATTTTGAACAGAGCCTCTCAGAATCTCATCGTTAAATTTTTGAGCTTCAGAAAAGGGAATTAGATCGCGTGAGTCTCTTTTAGGTCTGGATATAAACACGTGACGTATCCGGGTGCATTCCGGCCTCGCTCCATACGCTCGATACGCACCTCTTTGCTTTCTCCACACTCCGCCGGCCAAACGATGATCTTCGCAATGAGGGCCTAAACCTTGGAAAACAGATCCATCTATTTTTCAGGCAGCTGGATTCGTGTTCCCCAACACTCCGGGGTTACAGGAATCGCATGATCCCGGGCGATCCTTGCTTGACTGTGCAACTAATGGTTGTCCCGGTCCCGAATGGCAGGGTATTCATACTTGAGCCTCGACCTTGAGCCTCGGTGACCTAGGCCAAAATGTCTTCGCGAAGACGAACGATCAAAAAAGAGACCCCGCAGCGCCGCAAGATCGCTTTAGCATGTGAATCATGCAGGGACAAGAAGGTCCGATGCGACGGGGCGAAGCCGATCTGTGGGCCATGTGCTCGACGGGCGTATCCGATAGACCGGTGCGTATACAAGATTGAGAATGCTCGGTCAGCAAGCAATGATGCTTATCTCAAGGTACTGCACAATCGCATCCGAGAATTAGAGAATATTTGCGCCCAAAATGGAGTTGCTGTCCCGGCCCGACTCCCTGATGATGAGGAGAGGGGATCCGATGATGGCCAAGACAGACAACCTAGTGCAGACACGTTGGACCATGAGTCTAGAACATCTGTGGCCGTGGAAGGTCTGCTCGGCCTAGGCTCTAATACCGCAATACTCAATCAGCTACGTCCCTCCACGGTACCCACGGTGCCGCAAATGGGTGCTCAGTTGGGACATCGGCCTTCTATACCATCGACACATTCAAGCCTGGGACATCCAGATGCTGACCCAATCTCACCCCATCGATCACTTGCTCCTTATGAGACTGGAACGGCATCTTCGGCAAATCCATTTCCTTCCCCGTCTATCAATTCCCATAATGTCACCGCCATGGGAGCAATCTCTGTGGGAGAAGATGGGGAGAGTAACGATTCACCCAGGGAGCAATACTACGGTAACTCATCTGTAGCTTCCTTCATGCGCCTTGCAAAGGACTCAATGCCAATACGATCTTACCTTCAAACCCTCAAACAGATGGAAGGCAGCACGCCGGGTGGTTCTTCTTATCGGGACACAGGGCTGTGGCGAGACTGCCTGACGCCAACGCTGGGACTACAATTCGATGATTTTTCGCTGCCCCCTCGATCTCTGGCGGACCATCTTCTGGAATGCTATTGGAACCGAGTTCATTGTCTGTATCCCTTTTTCCATCGACCAAGTTTTGAGCAAGCTTATGAGAATCTGTGGGGGTCTAGCAAATGGCCCAAGCCTCAGCTGCCAGAACTAAACATTGGCCTTGGTGGCTCATTTGATTCTGGTCATCAGTCAATTGTCTTTCACTGCGCACTGAACGCTATCTTCGGCTTGAGCTGCCATTTTTCTGATATTCCTGCCGCTGAGCGCGAGGCAGCCGCATACTCCTTTTTTTCTCCGATCGAAGCGGTTCGTCGGTCTTGACCTCCTGGACATAGGTACCATCGGCGTTGTACAGACACTTCTCATTATCTCCCTTCTTTTACAAAGCACACCATACCCTAATAGATGTTGGAATGCGATCGGGCTTGCTTGTCGGGTTGCCCAAGGACTGGGCCTGCATGAAACTGCAACGCAGCAATCCATCAACCCCCTGGAGCAAGAAACAAGGCGCCGTACCTGGCACGGATGCGTGATCATGGATATGTATGAGCCCCCAATTCGCCTAATCATCGGTTTATTATCTGACATTGAAATCTAGGATCGTGAGTATGACTTACGGTCGTCCAAGTATGACTTCTCATATTTCACCTGCTTCTCCCCCGGTCATGAAACCTGACCTGCAGTCCGATGACCCTTGTGCACTTGCTGGACAACCTTGCGATCACAAATCGGGTTACATGACATTCTACGTCTCCACAATTGAGCTCTACAAAATCCTCGAAGCTATCCTGTCCGACATATACAATGCATGGCAAAGCCGATCGAACCACCATCGACCATTGTCTCATCGAGGAATGAAGCATAGCAGCCTTGATGTCATCATGGAACTCGACGACAAGCTTTCCACATATGAAGCCAACGTTCCCGCCGTTCTTAACTGGACGGGTATACACCCACTCAGCCCAAATAGTCACCAGGATCCGATCTTCAAACGCCAGCGGAACGTCTTGCGAGCAAGGTATTCACAACCCTTCCTTTCCGGTAGCAAGCTATAAGAAATTAACCCAATCAAATTTGCCAGATTTATACATCTTCGTCTTCTCCTTTATCGCCCCATGTTCACACAACTCTGCTCCGACGATCGCATGGACTTCGCTCGACAGACAGGCTCAGGCTCGGACTCGGACAAACCCACGATCGGACTGGAGAAAAATGTCATTTACAATTCCATGTCTGTAAATTGTGCAGCTGCTTGTGTTAGGGCAGCTGTGGAACTGGTGTCACATGTCCACGCCACATACAAGACTTCATTAACAGACGCGTGGTGGTATAATGGCTTTTGTATGATCTCCCCTTGACCCTACTCTAACAAAATCTATTGTCTAATGTACGAGCCACAGATACATCGACCGCAGGATTCGTTCTGATCATGTCTTATTCGTGTCGCTCGATCCTCGACCAGATCGATGTGCATGCTGTGGACGAGACATGGCGGAAATGCGAGGAGGTTCTGACAACGATGTCCTCATTCAGTCTCTCTGCCCGCAACTCGCTACAGTTCCTGCAAGTGACGCACCAACATATTGTTCAGAATTATACAGGTAATAGAATCCACCGCCTCGATCTATTCTTCAATTATTTAGAATGGCTGTCTAATACAGATATAGGTGCCTCCCGCAATGATGATAACGCTTTTGCCCCGAACCAAGTACAAAGAAGTAACAAAAACGCCGATCGATCAGATGTCACTTCTCATCCTGCCGAGGGCATTTCAGAAGACTCTGGGGCGCGTGATTCAGAGTCCAATGGTCCTGCCATCAATCCGTTCATGAGTTGGGATGAAATGGGTCTTGGTCAGGAGGATCTGGGATTTTTGGGCAGATTTGATCTTCCTGACCTTGCGACCTGGTTTTCTGACGTGCCGGATATGTTATCATGACACTGTACATTAGGCATAGCATAGGAGTTCTTAAAGGATGGGGAAGAGAACTACCTCTTTATTTGAATTACACATCTCGGTTCTCATCATAATGCATCAAAAAGAGTAGAGTCAGCACCATTCCAAAATGTCCCGGATAAACTCTCTAGTGTCTCAAAATCCGGCATCCACAACGGATCGCTCTGGTTCTGGTCGATCCACGGCGCAAGTTGCAACGCCATCCTAACGGCGTGGTCACTATCATCGTCGGGATAGACCTGTGTTCCAAAGCCGGCGGTATCTGGCGCCAACCCGGTCGGGTTTTCCGCGGGGAGCCTTTCCCCACTTGACATTCCGGGAAAAGTAGGGTTTAGAGACGCACCGCCATGTTGTGCTGTCATGAGCTCAGCCATGCCTGCGTTCCGAGCAGTTTCGTTGCCTTGAAGTTTCTCCATGGCTGCATTCACTAGGAGCTCGAATGCGTCGCGGTATTTCTTTACCCAGGCCGCTCTTTCACCCATGACGAAGAGCACTGTTGAACAGGCGCGGATGTCATTACTCATGCGAACAGTCCAAACTTGATCTGTGTGTGTCCATAATGCGTATAGGAGAGTTATACCAGCCATGAAGACGGTTTGTACGGCGAGGAATGAATGGCCATATTCAAGGGTTTGATGGAGACGTTTGTGGGACTGACAGATTTCCCCTGCGGCCTCGAGACAGATCTTGTAGTATGGGTCTGTGATCGGGAGAAGTGGGAGGAACGGTTGAATTAGGAGCCGAACGGCACGGTTGTAATGAAGCATTGGATAGTCGAGATCCGAGCCGGAGAATCGGAGGAAAGCGGACTCTTTCCATTCTTCAAGCTCGAGGTACAGGGGGTCCATTTTGAGGCGGAGTGAGGAGAGGGGTCTGTCGGCGCGGTAGATCTTATGTTGAATTCGGGAGTCGATGCGGCGGAGTTTGAAGAGGTAGATTGCAAACGTGAGGGTGGTTGTCTTTCCCGGTACTTGCGATGCGGTTATAAGGGCGGGATCTTGGATGTCATCATCCACGTCTATCGGTAAATCGAGGTCGATATGGCGGTCGGAGATACTGAAAGGACGTCCAAGAGACATCGAGACCACCCTTTCTAGATAGTAGACTGTCCAGAATAGTCTCCTTCGCATCTGAGTGGTGAATGGATCCATGTTAATTTCGTTTGCCTTTCGGTGCAGACCGAGATCAATAGCTGTACGCATTGCCAGCCCGATCATGTACCACATGCCGTGGCTAGAGGCAGTGCGAAGATGGTATACAACTAGGAGAACCATTGCCTCGATGTTTTCAATAGAGCGAGCGTCGCACATTGTGGGCACATACTGTAGAGCAGATGTATAAAATCGCTAGCAATTGTTAGTCATAAAGAACTTGAATGTGGCCGTAGTCGCACCATTTGGACTGTACCTCTGGTGCGGTGTATGCATATTTATACTTCTCACTCAATTGAAGCATCGTTGCGCCAATAGCGTAAACCAGATTCAGTTTGAATATTGCAAATCGATCCGATCTCGTGAGATCTCCACGTTTTGTTTTTGCCAACCGCCAACGTTCCTCGTGAAGCGTCCATATCTGCTTGCGGTCCAAAAATGGATAACGAGAGTGCAATCTTTTGAAATAAGTTTCAAGCATCTTATTTCCCATTTCTTCTGTTGGTGGTTCGGGTAAAAGCTCGTCTGCTCTTTTACACCGATCTCGCATTCGAGGGCCACCGGCCGGAGGCGTTGCCGCAGGACTTGACCCGCGATTATTTTGTGGGTTGATATTTGTTGCTGAGCTTTGCTGGGGCTGCATCCGTGAAATAAACTGGTTCCAGACGCTGGTTTGGACCATTTCACCCAAGTTGGCAGCTAGGGACAGACCGGAGCTTGAGCCCACATAGGCGGGTGCCTCGGACGAACTCAACGCAAGCAGTCCCACAATCTCTCCTACTGGGTTATTATCCAGGCCAGAGGTTGTTGTCTGTGGTGTTGTGTGACCACCCTGCGGAGACCAAACAGAGGCTGGTACATTTGGGACTGCACTGTGGCTGGAGGATGATGGATCAGGCTGGACCAGTTTGCCCTCGAGAAATGCCACTCTTTCTTCCAGTGCACGAGTGTAGCTAGGGTATTTAATTAGCACTCAAATTTCGCCAGACCCGTTTATGTTCAATCCCAACTCACTCGTTATGACGGTCTGCATCTTCGCGCACGCTCGACTTGTCACACGTGACCCCTGCTTTCCGACAGTTTGAGCAGGTCGGATATTCGTTGTCGCACTGCATCAAAGTTATCAGCAAACGGTTTGATCTATTCCAGGGTCGGGGTTCTTAGCAGACCTTCTGTTTCCTAGTCTTGCAGCGTGTGCAGGCTGTTCGTCCGCGCTTGCGGGGATTGAAGTCCTTCGAAGCAGGACTAGTCTGCCTGGATGACTCCGGGCTAGGGCCGACGGGATACATAATATCGCATTGTCTAGATGTGAGAGGCCCAATCTTTTTTTTTTCACTCCGCACAGACAAACTTCGCTGGGCTGAGAGTATCTCAACGTGGCAACGTCAACGATGGAAGGTTGAAGCAGCGACGTCGGAAATGCGGAGAGCGCCAAGACGAACAGCAAACAGCAACCATCAGCCAAAAATAAAATGAATAATCACCATGGATATAAATATCATATAGAGAGTTCTAGAATTCGCCTACGTTTGATAAGATAAAATATTTATCGAAAGCTAATTAATATTGTATTATTCTATATTCAAATGCGGTTTTAGGTGTACCTTAATACTATGCGCTTTTATGGTATCATACGCTGTGTAACTATAAAATGATGAAAGAAAAGAAACAGAAGCAATATAACATAAGACAACAAATACGCTGGTGCATATTTGTCTTCTGTCTTCAAGTTCTGTTTTAATTTTGGCCCGGGCTGATTTTCTCGTCTCGTCCGGTGAGGGACTCGGCACGAGATGGATGCAGCGTATGAGAGTCGGCTGCAGAAGTCATGGAGTTCTGCCGTTCCATTACCTCCGCATCCCGATGGGTTTCATTCCCTTTGGATTGTTGCTCTGTAAGGGTAGCCTCTGCATCTCTCTCAGCCTCAACCTTTCGCTTCTCCTCTTCAATCTCTTCGGGCGACTTGACGCGTTCGAGGCCACGATCACGAATGAACGCACATGCAAGGAAGCACACCCCGATAAGAGGAACTTGGAGAATGAAGACAGAATGGGAGGCCTTGGTATACGCAAGCAGGATTTGTGACCATTGAGTATCAGTGAGACTGGATCGCGAAGGGAGCGAATAGGTGGACTCGGTCAGATAAGAAAATTCCGCAGGAAGTTGTGAGCGCAGAGTAGCCTGCAAAATGGCGGCGGAGATGGCGAGACCGCATGCTCCCCCCATGCATCGGAAGAAGTTGCGGTTGGAGATGGATATGGCGCGATGGGACTTGGTACAATGCGCCTGCAAAGCGACGAGTGTGGGTTGAAAGGTGAAACCAATGCCGATACCAGTGATCCCAACGCAGACAGCGATGACAGCCGGGTGTGTCTTGTCGTCGAAGAGAAGCATGAGACCAGCACCTCTATGGTGACTATTAGAGCATATTCGAGAACAGTATTGTTTCAGTTAATGGGAACTCACAAAGTCCAGAGACCAAACCCCATCCAGATGATCTCTCCATAGCGCTTTAGTCGGGAAATGTACTGGCCAGAGCAGATAGAAGCAATAGCCTGGCAGGCCACCATCGGCGAGGTCAAAGCAGCGGAGACGATGGGAGACCAGCCACGGGCATTTTGGTAGTAGAGCGGTAGGTAGTAGAGGTACGCTTGATACACTGCCCCGAGAAGGAAGCTCTGTAAAAACAGGGCAGTGATGACTTTGCTTTTGAAAAAGACAACTAGATTGAAGTTAGTGGGCCATTCAAATCAAGAACGTGTTATAACGTACCTGGCAGCATTGGCAATGATGCCACCTTCCATTCAATGAAAGCAAAAGCGACAAAGGAACAGCCTCCGATGACAAGCATTGCTATCACCATCGGCGAATCCCACGGAAAGTAGGACCCTCCTCCCGAGACGGGAATCAAAACAAAGATAATTCCGATAGATGATGCCAAGACGCCGAACCAGTCAATTCGACATAAATTCTGGCGAAAGTCGCTCTTTTGGGCGTTATTCGGGATCAAAAAATATCCCACAATAGCTGAAATCGCTGCCAGCGGCGAGATCAACCAGAAAAAGCCACGCCATGTTGATCGCTCAATAAATGCTGCTGCAATGAAAGGACCCATGATATTTCCCACGCCAAGTGACGCGCCGAGTATGCCTTGGTACTTTCCTCGCTGCTCTAGGGTGACGACGTCTGACACAATGATCATTGTTAATGAAGCAACGCCACCACCTGCCACACCTGCCAATCCTCGAAAAACGTAGAACATGGCTGGGTTTTGTGATAAGCCACACAACAAATCTGCTATGCACAGCAACACTAGCGCCGATATGTAGACAACCTTGCGTCCAAAAATATCCGACAGCCGGCCATATAGGACCGTGAACATGGTATTCGCGATCAATGAGGAGGTTCCCGCCCAGGAAATAGTGTCCTGGGCGCCCAAATGCCGTGCTATTGTAGGTAATGTGACACTGATACCATTCTGATCCATGCACATAATAAGTAGGGAGGTAGCCAAGCCAGTGAAAACAACCATGAGCTGGGCGAATGGGAGAATGTTTGTTTGGTCGTGCAAGGCCTTTTCGGCCTCGCGTTGTCGATTCATAATTGAAAGTTTGGCCCTATTGTCGGCGTTCCTGGTTGTTTGGCTTCTATATCCAGTGTTGTGGTAGATTCTAAAAACGCGCGAAAGAATTCACAGAAGTCCTTCGAGGCGGAAAGTAACGAAAAAGTGTTTAGGGTGGAGCTCAAAGATCTCTGCATACAGCTCCGATGGGCGAGGTAGGTGAGAATTGTTTACTCCGCAGTGGGAATCTGTTCGTATAAGAGAAATTGAGATTTGAAGAAAATAATTTCCGTCATGTTACAGTCACCAGTGGTATCCGGCACATCGGCAACTCGTTCTGAGTCTCAATTGGAGATTCGCGCCGCTCAGCAGGATTTGAGTCGGATATGCCTCCGATGCGGGCAAAAAAGCCCTGCATCTTGTCCCAAATCTGCACCGGTGGACTACAGGCCAGCCGCCGTCGGTTTAGTTCCGCGTCATCTCCGATATGGTTGGCGCGCCAAAACCACCCATGTGGAGTCGCCACTTCGGACCTCCGATCGGATATCCGCATTGAGTCATTACGGAATAATTCTCACGCGACAGTGAATAGGACCTTTAAATACGTTCTAGATTGTTGTTGGCAGAAAGGAAATTGAAATACATATGCCTATTAGTGCCTAACTATATGCGATGCTAGCTCTGAGCGAGCAAAACGCTATAGATCTACTCAAGCACCTAAGCACTCATTCTCATCATTGTCACTTTCTCAGCAGGGACATAGCAGCTAGTACTACTAGTAGTTGTTGATAACTAAGATATGGAAAGTGAAGCGGTGTAAGATTAGATGTTTGTGTTGATTTTCTCATTTGACCACGACCGATTCGATTCATGCGTGCGGGCCACGCGAACAATGCGTCGGAGCATCCGATATGCCCAATCTAGATCCTCGGACCTCACAGGTCAAACTTCGATCCTACTAGCTCTTCGCTCAATTGAAAGAGTCTCTCAGCGGCATCCATATTTACCGCATGAGGTGCAGTTTTGGCGAATTGACAATCACTTAGATATATAGCCGATGGTTCGGATACCTCTATTTCGTTGTTAGAAGTGGACGGGGCCATCTGTGGATCTTCCTTCCAACTGGAACTTGACATTCTAGAACATACCTGTTAGAGCGGGGTCAAATGCAGCTACAAGCATTGTAGCTCCACCTTGATCAGCAGATTTCCAGAAATTGCTGGTCTTTGACATCGTATCATGGCCGGCGTCATCAAGGCCCCGACTTAGACCAGTCCAGATAGCTACATCTGTATCAGCATCGGAGGGGATGGAACATTCGGATTGAGCTACTTAACTCACATCCAGGGTGCACACTGTACGAAACAATACCGGCAGCGGCTAGGCGTTTTGTCAAATAAACCGTGAAGAGGATATTAGCCGCTTTAGACTGTCCATATGCCAGCCATCCATTATACCCATCGGCCGTGGGGCTGAACATGGGCGGCAAGCCATCTGGGGGTCTTTCATCCACAGGGACTTCTTTGCCCTCGAAGTTATAATCATGGAACCGAATAGGAGATAGTCGATGACCGGCACTAGTCACGTTGACGACGCGAGTCGATCCCCTGCCAGAAACTTTGGCAGCATTCTTCAGTTGGGTCATGAGCAAATTTGTAAAGAGAAAGTGTCCGACATGGTTTGTCCCAAACTGCATCTCGATTCCCTCCTCTGTTGTCTCGCGGTCAAGTACCATCATTCCGGCATTGTTGATTAAGGTGTCGATTCGATCGACTAGGCCCTGGATTTTCGATGCCGCCGCACGAATTGATTTCTGAGAGGCGAGATTCAAGGCAATCACTACCACGGAAATATCTGGATTCTGTTCTCGGACAGTCTTGGCCACCTCTTCGACCTTAGCCACGGTGCGCGAGGCAAGAATCAGGTTCGCTGGATTCTGTGTTCCTATAGCAAGAGCGAGTGCTTCGCCTGAGACTATTGGGACCAACACCCGTAATGATGACTAGGGTAAATTTTGTTTATTTTTATGTTCTGACCAGGCTAATTCATTCGGTGCTTACTATTTTTGCCTCGGATATTGCTCGCGAACGTCTCCGCGACTTCTGTTGCGGTGGTCTTCTCGTTGAATTCAGGGTGCGAGGTAGCCATCTTGCCGTATCTATGTTCTTCAACTGGTAATAACTTTTTCTGTCATATCTCATGGGATTATACTTGCATCTATATCTTTTCTTCTTTCCGAAAACAGAGATATTCCCTATTGAGAGACCCCGCAAGTAGCTGCAAAGCCCATTCAAAAGCCCCACAAGCCGCAACTCTCTCCTCCCCGGCGCATGTGAGGTCGAACCGGTCCATCCTATCTGGTATCCAAGTAATTGATATGGTGAATGGCACTAGTATTTGCGGGGTGCGGGGTGTTATGCATCAAAGGCCACAAGGTGGCTTTTCCCCCATAGCCCCGCAGAACGATGCTCCACATCATCTACTTCGGCTACAATGCAGAAGGTTTATTGGCGTTTGAACTCGGTAAAGATGGCCGGAGCCCTTACCTCTGAGCGCTTTTGGTATAGTGTCCGGCAGTTGCGATTTTTCCAGTCCCGCCTGAAGCTGGGGTTATTCCAGTCGACTGCAGGATGATCAATACGCTATCATCCAATTTAAAGTCCGGATGCGCGGCTTAACGCAAGACAGTCTCTGTTCATATTCGGAGTTTAATAGTCACATAATTCCCAACGGACCGATTGCATACCATGGAGGGCTCAAAAGCTCCAAGTGAAGTAGGATCGGAGCCTTCTGGCATCAAGGTGATCGTTGTCGGCGCAGGTATGAGCTATCACGTTGTTCTTGGCAACAATTTCTAACTTGGTCAAAGGTTTCGGTGGTCTAACCGCTGCAATTGAATGCCTTCGACAAGGACATGATGTGGAAATATATGAGTCATTTCCTGGTTAGTTTGGTCGGCCTGCATTGAGAAAGATCGCGCTTTAACAGATTTTGGTATTTGCAGAACTTAAATCACTTGGCGATATCATCTCTTTCGGGCCTAATGCTGGTCGCATATTCCGCCGTTGGTCAAATGGAAAGATTGCGGATCGTTTGAAGCCCCTCAGTATTGACCTAGAGGGTCATGGCTTTAAGATCCACAAATGGACCGGCGAACTGGTTCATACACAGAAAGCACACAATCCGGACCCAGATGCACCGGTTTTCAACGGTCATCGTGGTGAGCTGCACACAGTGGTTTTTAACTATGCCAAGGATGAGCTTGGTATTCCAATCCATCTCGGCCAGAGAGTTCTGGAATATTTTGAGGATGAGAATCAAGCAGGTATAGTTCTGGAGAGTGGAATAAAGGTACAGCCATACGGACCCCTAAATTATGGCGATTTTGACTCATTCCATTAGGTCATCGGCGATATGGTTATCGGTGCAGATGGTGTGCGCTCCAAAGCACGCGAGTTGGTATTGGGCTATGTTGATAAGCCCAAGTCAAGTGGATACGCCGTTTTCAGAGCATGGTTTGTTTTAACTGAAATCAATTTCTTATTTCAGTGCTGACATTCATCATTTTCAAAGGTTCTCTAATAAAGATATGATTCAAGATCCACGAACGAAGCACTTTTGCGAGAACGGAGACACATTCAATGGTTGGATTGGTCCGGATGTACACTTTTTGTTTTCCACTATCAAAAATGGACAAGACTGTTGTTGGGTTTTAACACACAAAGTGAGTTGTCTATCTGTCTGGGCCATAGAAAGTCATTGACAGTGGAATTTCAGGATGACGCCGATATTGAAGAGTCATGGTCCTTCCCAGGCAAGCTAGAGGATGTATACAAAGTTATCGAAGACTGGGACCCGATTTGCAAGGCAATTGTTGAGAAGACTCCTTCGATAGTTGACTGGAAGCTTGTTTATCGCGATCCACTACCACGTTGGGTGAGTGAACACGGACGTATTGCGTTGCTTGGAGACTCGGCACATCCGTTTCTACCAACCTCAGCACAAGGAGCAACGCAAGCGATGGAAGACGGAGTAGTTCTGGCCGTATGTCTGAAACGCGGGGGAAAGAATGGTGTACCCGCTTCTGTTAGAGCGTATCAGGATATTCGGTATGAACGAGTCTGTGCCGTCCAGAAGACAGGTGAAACTACCCGCGACCTGTGGCACAAGGCAGACTGGGAAAAGGTGGCGAAGGATCCCGCGTCAATCCAAATGCCTCGTGAGGATTGGATTTTCCGATTTGATGCGGAAAGAAATGCGGAAGAGGTTTTTTCTAAGATTGTTGAGGTGAACTGAATGATATGGCTCTTGCCTAGCTTTGTCAATTCATCACTCCAGACCCGAGTGTTTTCTTGCCGATTTCGTGGACGATATTATATTATGCAGCAGGTGCAAGAAATGAAGTTCCAGACCACATTTTAATCACGTTTTACTTGTTTGTAGATCATGACTCAACATTGTCTATCAGAAAGATCAATACTAAATTAAGTACGAGGAGAGAGCTTAATATCTTGGGATAAAGTCGAGGGCTGGCCGAGCATTTGCTTTTTTAGGATAGATATTCAGGGTCTTTACTATACCAATAATAGTTAAAATGAAATTCGATAAATGAACTTGAAGTTGGAATTATGTGGTATATGGTATCCATGCTCCATCGGTATTTTTTTTGTCGAAATTCATAGTATTCATCCTAAGTAGTCCTCCAATAAACGACAAAAAGTACCTAGGTAACTTGAACCTCATCGAGCCTTGGCAGCAGCCACTCTTCGCAACTTGCCTGGTGGTAATTACCCCGTTGGATTCACTCATTTTGTTTGATGTAGTCGGCGATTCTGGGTCTCTTCTCGAAGACCTCCTTGAACTTAAGTAGAGCCTCCGGCAGGACCGACTAAACTCACCACAGTTAGCAAGCGGCCTAGATCAGAAGCGAAAGTTATCATACCGGAAGCGTTCCAGTTCTTCGATCATTATCGATAGACTGGTATATCGCGAAGTCGACGTAGGTGATCTTATCACCCAATAGATACGGTCCCTCAAAATCCGAGTAGTACTGTGCAACAAGGCTGTAATATCCCGGCACATATTTATCCTTGTACTCAGGCTTCTTTTCGCTTAGGTTCGCAGCCCATTTCGACTGTTTTGATTAGAATTTCTTGTCGCACACTACTAACTACTAGTAGTCATATGTCAAACAGCAGACTTACTCTCCAATCAATATAGATGTCCGAAACAGCGTCCACAACATATTTCTCCTGGCTTGTTTTCCCGTCATATCCGCCCAGGTCGCGTGCGAGGTATCGTAGAATGGGAATGTGCTATTACTGTCAATTATTTCTCCGATGCATTGGTTGAACTTTTAGCTTACCTGTATGAGGATCTGGCCCTTGTATTCGAGCGCAGGAAGCTTGCCTGTCCGAGTGAGGCCTTGATTTTTCAGGGTCTCGCTCTGCTGAGGCCACGTCGCATCCCACGGATAAAGAACGGTCTTAAATTCAATTCCAGCATCTTTGAGGAAAAGACTTTATGTCGAATGTTATGATCAGCACGAAGCTCCGGTCGCGATGGGGTGACTCTTGGGGTACCTGGGCGAACTCACTTGACAACTTCGCCACGCCCTAACCGGCCAATGTCGAGGTAATGGTAGACTAGAAGATCCTTAATCGTAGCCATGGTTTGTTTTGCAAAAAGTTCTCCGAAAAAGGCGAGAGGGGCACTGATGAGAAGTACTATGAGGGGTAGGGGAATCAGAAACGGCTATATAAAGGTGAGGAGTCTCAGGATTGGGAAGGTTAATAGCCAGAAATTGTTACCCGCTTTATATTTCTGTGTAATAGGCCTACAAAATGCGTTGGCTGTCACCATGCATGGACTCTCATTACAAATCGCGCATTCTTCTCTAGCTGTAATATTGTTGTTTTGGTGATAAGCACTGTTGAGCGAGATAAGCGAGTTACGCGAATTACACGAGGGGAGCGAGGAACGCGAGAAGACCGAGCAAAGCGAGGAAAGCGACCATTCGCAACAGGCAAAGGATTTGGTGTGAATTACTTCAGAACTTCCCCATTTCTATTCCAAATAAAGGCCTGAATATTTTCCACTCGGACAAGCACATAACACAACCTTGAGGGCTCAAGTATCATCGCACAGCATCAACGCATAAGCATGTAAGTGGTCAGACCTCCTCCCTACTGTGGCTTACATTCTTACCGCAAAATAGAATGTCATCAGCAAAAAACCTGGAATTGAAACTGTGGTTCTCACCCCGATCATGCTCCTTTGTCCCGCATGTTGCTCTGTGTGAAGCCGGGCTTAAGGCAGAGCTCATTCTCGCCGAAGCGGGGACGAAAGAATTCAAATCGCTGAATCCAAAGGGCCGCGTGCCAGTCTTAGCGATTGGCGATGATATTATCACTGAAATGTCGGCCGTGCTGACTGGGATATCTTGGCTCGCGCCGGAGGCACATCTCTTTGGACGAAGTCCATTGGAGACTATTCGTGTATACGAGTGGCTGAATTATTTGTCTACCACTGCCCATGCGCAATCATTCGCGAGCGTCTGGAGAACAGAGAGATTCACAAACGACCCTGATCTATATCCTTCAATCCAGTCCCGAGGAGTAGAGAACATCAGGGATGTGTATGCGCTGATCGAGGGGAAGCTTGCAGAGAGTGATTCGAACTATGCAGTGGGAAGCTCTTTCACAGTTGTTGATCCATTTCTCGTTCTACTTTATCTTTGGGCAGGAAGATTGAGTATTGAGATGGAAAATACCTATCCCAAGTACACTTTGTATGTAAATAGTCTTTTGAGGAGAGAGTCGGTGATTGAAGCTGGCAAAGTTCACGCGAATCTGGGTGCATAGGGATTATCGAAGACCTCTAACCCACGGATGGAAACAGATGGATGGACTGAGAGCTGTACATACGCCTATTTCAAGCAAACTTCTGGTGTTTCAGGCTCATTAAAACCTCTGTTCAATTTGGTCGGATAAGAAATCGCAATCGCAATGTATAGTGAATGGGGGATGAGGGAGAATTCTCACAAGGCGCAAAGCAGACAATGTAACCCAAGGCCCGATCTGTCGAAACCTTGAACATAAGTTACAAAAATAGAAAAGCCGAATGTCCATTGATTGCGCAACTCAAAAACTTGTAGACCTCGGGATTTGTAATTTAGTCAATTACTACAGCATGAGGTTCCAGGCCGTGGCTCAACAGCTGTGGCGTTCTATAAATGATGGGCCGCGCCCCTGCTAAAAATCATGATCTCATCGCCCTTTACTCTTCTTCTTCCCCAAATAATCGGACCGATCTCTTTTTTTCCATAAGCTGTCTGAAAAAGCTCTTTTGCTCCCACAGAAATTTTCCAGATGGCTGTCGCACTTCATGGATGGCACCCTGGTGAGGTCGCCATACAGCGCCACCTCGGCTTTGCAGATGCGGTGAGCGATAGCTGGCCAATCGTGGCAAGAAGTATGCCAGATCAGCATCGTCTTTTCCACACGTCAAATTTGAATTTCATACCTGTCACCACAATCGATAAACATGGCCGTCCTTGGGCTTCTATTATGGCTGGACCAGGCGGCGAAATCGGCTTTGTGACGAGCCCAAGTCGCCAAACATTATCAATCGTCGCTAGGTTATGGGACGGTGACCCAATACTGGAAACTGTGGCTGCATGGATGAAAGACTCTGGTATATATGAGACTGACAGTCACTTGATTGCTGGTTTGGGTATTGAATTCTCGACGAGGAGGCGCAACAAATTCGCTGGAAGGATTGATGACATCCACCCCTTGGAAACTCGAATTTTCGATTTGAAATCAATGTGAATGAAGCTCTAGGGTAAGTAATAACCTATTAATCTTCTAAACAATATCCGGTTTTCGTTCCGCTTTAGTTGACTAGATCATCCGCAGAAACTGTCCTAAATACATCAACGTTCGCAAATTGGTCCCATTCGCACACGCACGACCAAAGGTCGTTCATCAAGTCGAGCAACTACAACAATCCCAGAGGCTTCCGCAGGATTTGATTGATTTTATCTTGAACGCTGATACCATATTTGTGGGGTCTATTTACAAGTCTCAGAAGTCAACAGCATCTCAGTTTCCGTCGCACGCAGGAATGAATGCCCGGGGTGGCCTACCAGGATTCATCCGGGTAAGTCCATCTGACGGGCGTACCATTGTGCTGCCTGACTACTCCGGTAATCGATTTGTCTCAAGTCTTGGAAACATCGAGGCCACGGGTCTGGTTGGATTCACTATAGTCTCATTTACAACAGGAGATATCCTCTACCTGACCGGCACGGCCAAGAATATCATCGGTCAAGAGGCTCTCAAAATAATGAAAAAAACATGCTGCAATCACGGTTATGGAGGTCTGCGGCTTCACTTTCGTGAAAGATGCCCTGCCTCTTCGCCAACAAGCCGGAACCTCGGTCGAGCGAAGTCCCTACAGTCCAAAGATCAAGTACCTTGTTGAAGAGTCCGGAGCAGAATCAGGCGAGAATGCGGACTATAAAGCTGTATTGGATAGTGCGGTACAGTTATCTGAAGATTTGGCCGTTTTCAGATTCAGTGTTCCTCCCCACAAAGGATCAAAAAGGCTTGAAATCCGACCCGGACAGGCCATCGTTCTAGACTTCATGGATTGGATTGGACCGCCACAATACCAGCACATGTCTAACGCCAAGCCAAGTCTCATAAACGATGACAGAATACGTACCTGGACAGTTTCAAGTGCCCACGAAGATGGTGAAGCATCTTGGTTCGAATTGACCATGCGCGAACTCAAAAATGGTGCAGTAACAGGCGCTCTATTTGATATCTTGAGGCAATCCAATAAGCAATATGGGACACCAATCACCCCAAGAAAACCCGTCGTCGTCGAAGTTGTTGGCATCACGGGCGACTTCTATCTTGGGCAAACTAATATCAATGCGCTGTGGGTAGCGGGAGGAATCGGTATAACGCCTTTTTTGTCAATGCTGAGTGCACTTTCCACGCGAAATCGGCCGGGCGGGTGTGATATAACACTGGCTCTGGCAACAAGAGAGCCAGCTCTCATGGTGAACCTACTGAGACCGCTCCTTGCCAATCTACCGTCGGACATTCGAATCGTGATTGATATATTCACGCACGTGAATGAGTCCCAACTGGATAAAACTCAGAGGGAAAGCCAGAAACTGTTTATTCATCGCGGTCGGATTCCCGCTGAGTACTGGATTAAGACTGCTGAGAATAAAAATGTACTGATTTGTGGCCCGGGCGGGTTCGGAGACTCGGCGACGGAAGGATTGCAAGCCGCTGGTGTGTCTTTGGAGAGAATACAACGGGAGGGGTTCTACTAATTATCCAGCTTCTGTCAATTAAGGTATATTAATAATGAAAAGTAATTTCTTTCACATGCATTCAAAAAATCAACTTCCCAATCTGCTTAATGTAAATCTCATGCTTCAACCCCAATTTCAAGCAGATGACGATTCCCAGCAATGTGGTCCTGGATCACTTGATTCAAATCAAACTCTGTGACACAACTCCAGTCCAACCACTTCTTCACAATAGGCTGTTCCATAAGCCAATTGGGAGAAAAGGGCTGCGGGTATATCTCATAATCGTCAATGGAAGGCTCAGAATCATTGGTTGCATCTAACCAATGCGCAACTTTAGAAAGAGCGAATTGCGTGTCATTGTCATTTTCACTTGAAGAGCCTCTGAGACGTCCGTAATATGCTTCGAAGCTTCGACCGTCGATATCTGGGATAAAAACGGCGATCGTTCGCATGGAAGGGTGTACGAAACTTGCCCCGTCGGAAGAGAAATGCAGATCTCTCGTTTTGAGTTCTTCGAGCGATAACAAAAGATCAAGTGTTGCCGCAAATTGTTTGTTGTGGAAGAGTCCCTCTGGGCCAACGTTTTCAAGCTCTTGGATGATCCAACGAAGCCACGGGGCTGAAGGACAACAACGGCCCGCTAGATAGAGTAATGGCGAAAACCCAATCCTCAAGTTCTCGCACATTATCATTGATAGGGAAGAGGATCGATGCGAGATCGTCAAGGCGGTTCTTGTGTACCGTAGTAACTCATAGACATGGAAGTATGAATCTAATTCAATTTTGCGGTCTTGGTCTCCTAGAAGACATAGCGCCCAGAGCAGGCGCGCCTTGTAAAAGCTGTACAGCGCTAAGACAAGGCAAGACTCCCACGATGTATGCTTGTGAGGCAGTGGCGGAAGTGGAAATTTACCCAGCCCCTGGTATGAGAACTCATCAAAGTCCGATTGGGAGTCATCTGCTTTCAGCGTTTGGAATAGTGTTGAGTTGTATGTCTTCCAATCATCTAGAGCTTGTAAGAACGCTAGGATCTTATCTTTCGACGTAGTCTTGTAATGTGCGGCATAAACACACCATATTACGTGCTTGAGATCAAGATCTGCGGAGGTGAACTCCAGAAGTTGTTGGATCAATATTGAGGAAGAACTTGCTCCCAATTCAAAGAAGGAAGCAGGAAGATTGACCGTCAGCTTTTCTGCATTCGACAGAAAGTTCGGTTCCAATGGGCTAGGGAATGGTCTCACGATGCGACATATCAACTCCAAGTCGCGAAGGGAGGACTCAACCGGCAAGATGAAGTGGCTGGTCGGGTGGTTATCGTGTGATTGCATTGAATGCGAATAATATTGAGTGACTTGAGTATGGCGAATGGCGGCCGGAATATTTCCGGAAAGGCACTATTACCTGTCATTAATTTCCAAGGACGCCATTTATGAAGGCTCTCGACATACCTCGATATATGCCATAATAATCAGAACGCCGACTGCCAGAGGTGTGGGGTTCTTTTTCTGATTTATTTCCCTTGATACCCCTTCAAGCGCTCTGATGTACGTTTGGATGGCACTGATTTTCGTGTCTAATCCGCGATCGTGGTCGCTACCACCTTGTTTCGACAATAACAAGGTTGCGCGATGCATAGAACCCAGGGCGACGATAGCATCAAAAACCCATTCGGTCTCCCATGCCGCTTCACACAAGTAATCTCTCCAGAAATGAAAGCTCTTTGGTGCGAACAAGATCGTTGATGTTCTGTAGAGATATTGGTGGTATCCGAGCATATCGCGCGCTCGGGAGTGAGGCCGCTGAAATGGATTGGGATTGACCGGCAACGCCATCAAGGGCAATCCGTCTTCGCGAGTTTTCGGCTGCAAATATTCATGATTAACGAGACTTGCCGGGGGTGAAGCAACGCCATTATGTGCCTCTGTTGTAGTTGTGCTTTGTCCCGGAGGTCTGGTCTTCAGCCGCCGCTTCTCCGCGTATCCAGAACACTCTATATTAGCAACCTCACAGCGTTCACAGTCTGGCTTTCTCTCATCGCATTTCACCCGTCTGGTGCGACATGTCAGACAGCCCGTCCTCCTCCTGCGTTTCTCGGTCATTGTGTCCAGGGTAAGACCAGGAGAGCGGTGTTGGTTGGTCGGACTAACCAGGCTACCTGACTTCAGAGTCTAGCATATATCTTGCTTCGAGTCTTTTTGAAGTGTCTGTCACTTCAAATAGCAGTTACAGACATAACTAGAGACATGGGGCGTTGGTTATCAGCGTGGCAATGGAGAGTTGTCAGGTTGAAAAGTGATTAGTAATACAAATACGGAGCGGCAGGAAATATCGATGCCTTAAATATTTGGCCTTGTTTATGTTAACTAACTTACTAGTTATTAGCCTCATGCAACAGCACTACTGTCTCGCCTTCTCTGGTAATTGAAAAAATTTATTAAACGCATAAAAGGGCATTTTCAAATATCCCCTCTCCTAAAATCATCTGAGTGCCACAAAAGTTGGCCACATCCAATATTCAGCTACTCAACATCTGAGTGTCTCATGCCTTATTCTCAACTGTCTCAGTGGTAGCCTTTTCCGAATCTCCGGAAAGTCTTGCGTCGGCATTCTCACTTGGACTACCCGTATCCTTTAGGGTCGTTTCCAAATTTGCAGACCCAACGCATTTGTAAGTAGCAAACTTTCGAGCTGGAAGTTGTAGTTCAAACTGGAACTGTCATTAGCACCGCGTAAGGTATAAAATCAAAGAAAATCAAACTCACCATTTCATCAATCTCTTCGAGTGTGCGACCTTTCACTTCAGGCAGATAAAAGAAAATAAATGCAGCGGCGATGAGACATGACGGGAACCAGATGTAACCGTATTTTGGCCTAGGAATCATAATAAGCTTCCACTCATAATACCTAGACTAACCAATCGAGCGATCTTCTTACCCCCAATTTAGCGAGTCAGGATTGATGAAATACGGAGCCGTGAATGTGCATAGCCACTAAATACTCAGTCATAAATCCGACTTTTGTGAGAACTGTATGTGTTTTTAGATGGGACTCACTGCTCCGAGGAACCCAATGGCTGCAGCCAGGCCAAATGTATAGGATCGAAGGCGCTGAGAAGGGAGCTCTCCGCCAGATACCCATGCATATGTCGAGACCATTCCCTAGTATTCCATGTCAATATTTCCTTCTCTCATTCATGCATGTGGACAAGAATTGGCCTACATTGTATCCAAAAATGAAGATGACAGACAATCCAACAATTGCCTTACCCGTTGCCTGAGTACCCGGATGAACAGTGTACAACGCGGCGATGATCAACTGGCTAAAGCCACAAATTATAAGTCCAACTGTCAAAAATAGCCTTCTGCTTCCAATTTTAGTGATGACTGCAATGTTGATCATAATAGCCACGACGCCGATCGCAGTTAATATGCAGCTGTTCTCGAATGCATTGCCAACATCCGCCATTTCAAAGAAGTAAGTTCCGTATGCTATTAGCAAGAAAAAATTAGCAATTTTCTCCCCTTTTAGTTACGGGCCTGGGAATTTGAACACACCAATCATGAACATTGCGCCGGAAGCCGCCTGCGTACTCACAGCCGCAACGGACAATATTGTTCTCCGGCGATCGACGGGATTCGAAAACATATCCCAAACTGATACACCACTAGCCAGGTCCATTTCCAGTCTTATGGCGTCATTGATTTCCTGCATTTCCTTTTCAACAGTTTCCTCATCAGGCCTCAGCCACACTAGTGCCTTGCGAGCTTCCGCTTCTTTCTTGTGCTGCATTAACCATCGGGGCGATTCAGGGATAAAAAGCATTCCGGTACATAATATCGCAGGTATGATAAATATCAGACCTAGCGGAATGATATAACTGTTTTTCCCATCTATCTTCGCTGTGAAATTGTCGATAACCGTTCCGAGTAGAGAGCCGAAGGAAGTCCAGAATTGAAACAAGCCTAACATGAGACCGCGGTATCGAGCTGGTGAGCATTCCTAGAGAATTTCATTTAGCCTGGCACCAGTAAATCCTCTTTTATCGATACGGGAAACGAACTTGGATGTACAGCTGCGAAAAGGTCATCAAGAATCCATTGCCCAGTCCGATAACCAGACGACCAGCGTAAAGACCTGCGATTGAATCCGTAGTCATCATCACCACATTCGCAACGTAAATTAAAACAACTGCGATCCAAAGGCATGTCTTTCTTCCAATATAAGTAGCTGTAGGTCCTATTCAAGTTCCCTGTTGTCAATTTCTGCTAGTGCCTACTCCTTCTAGGAAAACCTACCCGCTGAGCACGATCCCACAAATGCACCGAGGGTCATCAACGAAGAGATCAGTTGCTGACGCTCGTGGGGGATATTCCATCCAAGTGAGGTATTTGGAGCCGGCTCCCCAAAGACCTGAATTTCATTACCCTGGTCAGCGAGTCATCGGTCGTGGAGGAAAAGTCGACATTCTCACCTTCAAGAACCCAACCATTGCCTGGAAACCTCCAATGAGAGTGAAATCAACACCATACTGAAAGGGAGACATGGTAATCAATGAGCAAGCCATCAATGACTTCCAATGAAGCCGCAGCCCATTCTTCTCTTGATTATCGCCCATCGTGAGTATAGTCTGGAAATGTGACCAAAAACAATAGTGACCGACGAGGATGATAAATAGGAGACATCACTCCAAGCCTGCCTTCGAATGAGTATAATCTGCTCATTCATGATTGGCTTCAATGGAATGAACGCCTCATTCTGGAGAATATACCGAATGCGTCGCATTGCTGGCCTGCCCCAGTGGTGGCGTATTACGATCGAGGCCTTCACCAGATCATCTGTGGGGCCATGCGGAGATTTGAGGTCTTGTCTCTGTAAAGACGGGTGGAAATGAAACTGTCGGTCCCATGACTGCCTCTTGCATTCAACCGAAGCAGGCGCTGAGTGGTTGATTGTGAAGGAGGGGATGCGCGGGTGGATTCAACCGACGTGGTGGTTAGGACGTATCGACTTGTAACTTGTTTCAGCCAATTTCCGGAGCGTATGAAGCAGCTCATTGCCGATCCAACCCCTCTCCTATCTTTGGCGCCAGGATGGCTTTGGGCGTCGTGGCTGCGTGGCTGCGTGAAGAAAGGAGCTTGGGCTCCCCGGAACTGCAGCTACATCGGCAGTTGGATTATTCTGTTGATCCCGGTTTCTATCGTATTTCTCTTGTTCTATACTAGTCTTCTGGGGAAGTGGGTCATCAATTCATGTGTTCACTTTGCTCAAACTGTCATTTGAACGGCAGGTTGTGGGGAAGATCAGCAACAGAATGTGGAGAAGCGGGCCTCGGGAATTTCTGGTAATCTGGGGAAGTGGAGGGTTTCAGACGAACAGCTTACGTTGACTTAGCTCTGATTTTTACTGACTAGATTGAGATGGCGGAGGGGAGTGCTTTCCTGGAAGACTGCTGGTGCAGTGAAGCTCGTATCAGATTCACATTTCGACCAAAACTGCAGTTGATTCAGACATGAAACAGGTTGTATTGAGCCAACAGAGAGTCTATGACATTTTAGGAGAAATTGTATCATCACAAGATATTAAAAGTGCAAATATAGTTTCTACCGCCATTCAGGCGTCATGAGTCAATTGCCATACACCCTGGCTAATATAGACCCCCAAGTGCGAAGCAACCCTCCACTCCTTCGGCGCTTCCGTTGCGAATTGCAGAATTTGCCTATAAGTCAGACCATCCACATTCTTCGCGTCCTGGTTCGCCCCCAGCTCACACAATTTTGCAATCGCGCTATGCTCACAATTCCGTGCTGCTTTGTGTAGCGCTGTCTCGAAAAGAAGCGCATCCCTAGCATCGATAAAGACATCTTGTTCCATCAGTAATTTGATACCTGGAATCCATCCTCCTGCCGCAGCTAGATGTAACGGGGTCACGCCTTCAAGCATGAGACTATTCGGATCCGCACCATGCTGTAGAAGCATCTTCATACATTGCATTGTCTTATTCGCGACGGAATAGTGAAGCGGGGTCTTTCCTTCAGGTTGTATGGTAGGAAGCTCGATCAATGCCCCATGATCAATGAGGAGTTGCAATACCTCTACAGAATCCCGAGATACTGCTCCATGTATAGGTCCCCAGCCCTTTCCCGATCAAAAAAATCAGCATCTGACACATCCTTAAGAAACTTGGAGGGGGCGAAGAACGAACATCTTTATAGCTTCTGACATTGACATCCACCCCTTTTGATAGTAGTAACTTAACTATCTCGGCATTACCATTTTTACATGCCACCGAGAGCGGAGTACCCCCGGCTGTCGTTCTCACTTGCGGATTCGCTCCATGCTCCAAAAGCAACTTCACAATCTCTAAATGACCGTACTCCGTTGCCTGCCACAGCGCAGTTGCACCACTGTGACGATAGGGACTTTTACCTCCAGCCCACCCGGTAACACTCCATTGACGAGCGGATACAGATGCCCCGTGTTTAAGCAGAATTTTCACACTCTCAAGTTGGCCCTTTTCAGCAGCGTGCGACAACGCCGTGCGGCCTTTTTTGTCGCGCGCATCAACATGAGCATGGGTCAATATAGCTTTTAGGAGTAATCCACCGCCTTGCATAATAGCAACTCTAATATCCTTAGCTGCCTCGGGGCCAGATGGTAGATTTTGCCTGCTTTTCTCCTCGGGGTCGACCGAGTATCTAGGGAGTGTCGTTGTTCGTTGCTTCATCGTCTGGGTGCGCGACAGCTTTCACTGTGCTAGCATATTCGAGCAAGGAAGTGCCAACATCTGGATTAAACTCGACTTTTCCTTGAAAATTCCTATCTCCAAATCCTAGAGCTGACTTTGTCGAGATTATCCTGTCCACTGGTTAGTCTCATTGAATGAATGAACCGTGAGCGATTAATATGCGTGCATGTGCTCTACATACAAAGTTACATGGCCCATAGCATTACCAAACGTAGATTTCGTCCGTTCAAGCTCCAACGACAACGCAAATACCTCCCTCCGTCTAAAATACCACAGTACGCCATTCATGCGAGTTTCGACGGTCCGGGGCGAATCCGTACTGCCAGTTTTCAGATCCGGGACGAGGTCTCAGTTTTGAAATACGGCTTCATCTTTTGCTGTATGCGGTCCAGGGCAATTTTGCAGTTCTCAATAGGGCTGAGTAGAGTCAGAACAGCGTGGCTTATCTCTGGATCCTCGTTGACCATATTGAAGACGTCGCTGCTGCTTAACGATCTTTCGAGGCTGCTGACCAAAATCTGGAAGGATAAAATGTCGTTTTTTATCGCACTAATTTCATTAGGGGCATTCTTGATAGTGGAAAATAGATCGTGCGCTGTCATGGCGGCTTGACCAGCCATTTGGGCGACTTGGAGTATAGCCGCGGCTGCGCTGATGCCGTCCATCATATTTTGTTATGATTTATTCCGAATACTCTGGAGGTGTACCTGATTGTCTTGGCAATATATAAGAGAAGAAAAAAGGGTCCAGAAAATTTGTCATCCAAACAAGCACTTGTATTGCGGGGGTTGGAGGGGCTCATCCCTCAGGGGGCGGTGCATCCTAACTAGTGCAAAAATACACCAGGAAAGGGAATGATCAATGGCATACACCTATTATTAGAGGCTGTACAGGGCTATGTAGTTCCAACGGGTATTGAGGCTCTGCAGGCAGGCGAATTTAGTCCTGTCTCCTTTCAAACTGTCGGCCTGAGCTCTGTTCATGTACGCAATATAGAATGGACTCGGTGAGTAGGAAATTGAAGCCCCCAGAGGCAAAGAAAGTAGAACATCGAATAGAATAAAAGACTAGCAGCGGTCATATCTCATCATCTTCGTAAAGCCCAGCCAGTGTATCCAACAGCTACTAGTAAAAGAATAGAGGCAGGTTTTGCATCCAAAGAATCTTGATACGCGCTGATGTTCTGGAAAGCTTCCCGCAACCCAAACCATGCCATAACACCTCGTCCAAACAGCATCGAAATCAAACCTGAATGATGCCATGCCATAAGCAAGCAGTGGATCATTCACAGGTACTGCAATGATTCTCACCTCAAACAATGGTTTTATCCGTCAGTGAAGAGGACACAGTCCCACAAAGGTGATATCACAAGAAAGTTAACTATCTCATCCGTTCTTCCTTCAAGTATTCGGCGGACCGATCGGAACCCCTAGAGCCCCAGCCGCCCACGGATTCTGCATGACACGAGCGTTGAGGGCGTTAACGTTAAAAGTATTGTCCTCGGCGACATCGTTGGGATTTCCGCCCGGCCCAGACGGGGGTGAGGAACTGAGTGTCTCGCGACAGGGCTCTGGGTTGGAACTGGGTGGTGACCCATATATGCACCGCCAGTGACATTCCCTTGGTTCGGGAAGAAACTCTGGTTCAGAGACCCGCAGCTCGTGCACGTGAATTCAATTTTGAAATTCGTCATAAGCATCTGGGTAGGAACAGCGGCGGGGTGGTCGCTGCGTGATGGATGGGGGTAACCGGGTGGTTTGGGATGGTGCTCTGGTCCAGCCAGGGGCAAGGCAAGGGGGACAGGGACAGCTTGGTATCCAAGTGCTGGTTGTGATACCATGGGCTGTGTATCATTATTCAATGGAGTTTGATTGGGGGTTCCTATGGGCGGTGGTTGCGGTATCTGTGGGCGAATGGCTTGGGCGGTGCCGTGGGGCTGTGGTGGGGGATGTGGTAATTGAGACGCATGGTTCTGTGGGGAAGGAGTCGAATTCATAGCTTCGTCGTCCATTAATGTTGACGGGAGTGGCTCTGGGAGCCAGCGAGTCTCAGATATGGCCCGGTACGATGGTTCGGGGTCTTCCTGTGATTCGGGTTGGGATTGAGATGACGATTGCTGATCACCTACACTCATTTCCAGGTCCAGACTGTTATCAGCCTGACTATCAGCTTGTCGAGGTTGGAGCTTAATCAAGGCCCGTTGCGCCTGTCTCATGGAAATATCGTATCCGTGATAACGCTTCACAGCATCGACGACCTCCTGTCCTGTAATCTTGCTTTTCATGTCAAAGAGCTTTGGGATTTCTGTCAACAAGAAACGAACATGAGAGGCTTCGGAGCGCGCCGGGGTCGCTGCCGGTGTCTCTGCACTCCTTCGACAGCTGTGACTGTCTTGTAGACTTGTGATATAGGTCGCGTTCTTGTTCGAACGGCAGACCACGCGAAAGTAGCAATTTGTGCCCGAGCGACAACCAATCACCACACTCTTTTTGTTGCTTCGCATCACTCGAAGCTCCCAGTGTTGTCTGACTGATATACTCCGAATCACTGTCTTGAACTCGTCAAGAGAAGAGAATCGCTGGCCCACGTGGAGCCCGGAGTACATCTCAGTCATGTCGGCGAGGGCGGAGCACGCAGCAAGGAAGAGAACGACAGAGCAACTGAAATTTCAGCCGCGACGGCGCAGGGGACAACTTCCATCAGGGTTTGGAGTGTGAATCGCACAGCCTCGAGTTCACGGGCTTAAGGACCTCAGGGACGCGTGCTCGTTCAAGTGCGGGAGCGTAGCGGAGCGCGCGCTGAGGAATGTTTAGCCTGTCATGGAGGAGTAATATTAGCGAAGGAAGGAATGTTTATCCAACGCCCTGGATTAAGATTGAAAGTTAAACCAGGGAGAGGGAAGTGAATGAAGTGGAGGAGGTTGAACTCGAACTCTGGGGAAAGCAAAGAGTCCAAAAGGTCGGGGAAACTGCAGACCGCTCGCCTTTCTTTCACTTTCACTCTTCACCTTCACCCGGACACCTTAAAGAAGTTGCAACAGCACTTCTTAAACAACCACAGCAGTCGGGTTCACCGCAGTCTTCTTATCTAAGCTACAGTCTCGCCTTTGCTGTCCCTTTGTGTATCTCAATCTCCAGTCATGGCTTCCTACGGCCTGCTGGGCCAACAAGAAGAAGGTCGAGTTCGATCCCGCCAACCCAGGCCAACCGCAACAGCAACAGGAACACCTCCAGCTAACTCCAACTAGATGCCCTTCACAAATCGCGCCTTTTAAACGTCGAAGAAAAGCCCTTTAAGCGCATCTCCAAGCGCATCCTCAACCCAGAGTCCCTCGTCATCTCCAACACCCAAACCGCAACCCCTCCACCAGAAGACTCCTCCTCACCCTCCACCTCAACATCCACCGAAAAGCAAAAACGCCTCGACGAATGGCGCCATTTCCGCGAAGATGTAACCCTCGACTTCGTCGCCTTTGAAGGCAGTATCGCACGCATCCAATTCCTCCTCACCAGCAACGAGAAAGAACGCGAGCGCTACGCGACAGAAAAACTCCGCATTCTCGAAACTATGCAATCCGTCCGAGGCAACACAGCCGAACTACGCGCCCAACTAGACGAAGCGCAGCGATTACTCGCATTACGGAAAAGCTACGACGAACTTGCCGAGAAAATCACTAGTAACCGACTGCTCAAGCCGCGCGAAGACCAGGAGGCTAATTTGCACAAGCTTGAGTCGGAAATTACCGAGCTGGAGAAGGAGAGCAAGGACTATGCTATGACTTGGTCTGAGCGTCGTGAGCAATTTGGCCGTATTGTTGAGGAAGGTATGCAGCTTCGCCGGTTGATTCGTGATGAGAAGGAGGAGGTTGAGCGAAGGGAGGGTATGCAGGAAGGGGAGGATGGGGATGAGGGTGATGTCAATTCCAAGGGGAAGATTAGTGCCGCGAATAGTCCTCGTCCTGAGGCGGAGGGGGGTTCAACTCCGTCGCAGAGTCAGGATGAAAGTGGGCGGTTGCAGGTTGAGAAGGGAGCTGGGAGTACGAGGGGGGTGTCACCGCTGCGAAATGCGACTAGTGCACAAGGCGAAAAGTCTCGTTCTGATCAGGAGGATACGAATATGCTGGATGAGGGTGAGGTGAGAGACGAGGAGGCGGGCAACCACTCTGATGAGCTGGAGGAAGGCGAAGAATTGCCCGATGACCGAATGGGGGGAGAGCACATGGATACCACTTGAGGATTTCAATCCAAATGTATATTACTACTAGCATGGAGTTTAGGGTCTGGATAGGGCGTTGGTCATCGATCTGGTCATCGGTCACTGGTCACTGGTCACTGGTGATCCGAAGTTTCAAAATACATGCATTCAATTTTGAGTTATTATGGATGCCTAGAAGCACCTGGGTATTTTCTTCACTCAATCATTTTTGATCCATGAGGGACTTTACTCAAGAAATCTCCCGCTCAGCAGTCTTGGCCTTTGCGATGGCTTCTTTCGCAGCGGTGATGTGCGCGACGTTGCTCTCAGCACCCTTCTGGCCCTCCTCGGTCTATAGCAGGGTCAGTATTGATCAATATCAGGTTACCTATTTATGACCGGGAAACAGTTTTCACTCACGATCAAAGTCGCCAGCTCTGCCACGGTGTTGACGAGCTTGGCCTTCAGGGAAGGCAAGACCTTCTTGGTTTCCTCAAGGGCGAGGTGCTAGAAAATATCAATCAGCTGCTTTTCAATAATCCGATACATGACACCAGCCACAAAGCTATCTCATGAAAAATGGGCCTAATGGATGGTGAGAACACCATGGTGCAGACATACCTCTTGCTTAATCATGTACTCCTGGTTCTCATCTTCGCCGCCCTGCGCACTCTCCAGCTTCTTGATACGCGCCTCCTGTTGGATCAGCTCGTTGTGATAAGAAGCCTCTTCCTTGACCAGGCGAATGACCGAGGAGGTGGTAATTTCAAGTTGAGAGCGAGGAGCCATGGTGATCGAGATAGAGCTAGTGGGTAGTCAGTATGTTTGACAATGCAATCGATTTCGGGTGATGAGGCTAGCCATGGATTCAAACGAGGCTGGTTTCACCGCGTTTGAATTCAGGCACAGTGACAGCCAGTTCAATCAGTCTGCTAGCATGGGCCATGCAAATAGCAGCTGGCGAGGATGATCCATGCAGCATGCCGCGGGGTCTCGAGATATTGTATAATGTACGATGTACAAGATCAAGGCCCACCTCAAGCCTCTGAACTGAACGTCGAATATGTGAAGTTAGATATGAACACTCACATTTAGAAGTTGTTAATTTTCTTTCCGTTTCCTTGTGTCACTGGCAATTCGTAATGCTGATTGATTGTGGCCAAGACTCGTTGAAGCGTGCCCCTCTGATGGCACGTGATGCGTGATGTCAGGTTTGTCAGGTTTGTATGCAGTCACGTGCGTAGATCATGTGATAGACTACTCCTACTCCGAGTATAAGATGAATGCAAATGTAAATGCAAATGCAAATACAAATACTGAAATATCGAGGGTCTATAAATATCACATCTGCCTTACGGTCTTCAATCGAAGCTTCACATGTTGCTCGTTAATTGGTGTACAGCTGATAGTCGTCATGCAGACAATGCAATACAGTAATACGAGTATAATAGGGACCTCGGGAGTAGTTACCAGGCAGACAAGGCACTCGACTCAATACCAGTATTTGCTACAGAAACCGAATATAATTCAGTATCTTCCTCATTTAGGCTCTCAACAAAACGAGTAATACTGTTAATACTGCCTCTCCCATCTCATTGTTCACTTCAAATCACCTCAGCCACCCGACATGGTCATCTGGCCGCAGCCACGGCCAATAAGCGGCCGCCTCGAAGCTCCTGGCCCGGCCCTGCTCTGCTTTGCCCTGCGCTGCTCCACTCCGCCCGCATCAGAGAACCCCCAAGGCCCTCATCAATTATAAACCCATCCCCAGTTCTTTCCAGTCGGGCTATTTTCAACTCATTGTATACTTCCAATGTCACCTTTACACCTTGCATAACCCGGTCGAGTTTGCTGTCTTAAGCCGACCATGCCAGCCCCAACCCTCAAACAGCTGGCGACAGCGACAGCGATCAAGCATGTTAAGAGTAAGTGGTTGGAATATACTCTTCTATCAAGCCATCTGTTCTTACAATCTAATCTATTTCTACCCTCATTTAGTGCTGGACGATATCGGCAGCCTACCCTATGCCCTTGCTCGTCCGATGCTGCTCAAAGTCGACAACCCCGAGAAGCTGGTAAGTGGCACATAACCAAGGAACATCTCCTTTCCTCCCATGATCTTGATCTTGGTACAGATATATACCATTTTATATACACCACTCCTTACAAACCCATGCTAATACCCTCCCCCTTTCCTCCGATCTAGCACTCAATGGAACTCCTCTCCCCACACCTCGCCGAAGAAGACCAAGAAATATGGCTCGAGTTCATAAAACGCGACATCCCCCAATGGGATACCTACGATATCCCACGACACTCCAACCAGTGGTACGAAATATATTGCGACCTCCGCGAAGAAGTTCAACGCTCCCTCGACGCCGACGCCGAGAAACTAAAGATGGCCATCGACGGCATCCAATCCCAAAAGGCTCGTCTCACGCCCAAGATCATCGCCGGGCCCCGTGGCAAACACAGACCAAGCATGAGACAAATCTATGCCTCCAAAGATCGCAAAATGGGAGGAATCCCGCCTGTCAATAAATCCAGCAACACCTCCTCAGTCTCGGACTCCTCCTCGAGCTTCACCTTCGGCGGCTCCGCCCGTGTCTCCGGCTTCGGCTCCGCGGGTTCCAAACCACCCAAGAAATCCATATTCGCGCCCCAGCGCAGAAATAATGCCCTCGCAATCCCAACAAAACACCTCAGCACCCGCGCTTCCCGCGTAAAGCAGGCTCCACGCTCACTGATCGAAGAGCATCGACGACCCATGGACCCACCCGCGTCAGCATCAGCATCAGCATCAGCATCAGCATCAGCCTCATCCTCAACATCGCGACGTGACATAAATGCAGGCGTTCTAACCCAATCAAACGGACGAATTATGCAGGTCAACAAGCCCGTTCCATCCAATCCAGCCTTCGGTCCCAAAAGTGCCGCGCTAGCGGAACGAGAGGCCCGTTTGCAAGCTATCGCTTCGGGCAAACCTCTCCCCAATGCTGATTCAAAGAAACCCGCTCCGTCGGGAGATGGACCTTCATCACCAGCTAAGAGGCCGATTCTTAAACGTCGTGCTGTTTCTCCGCCGTCATCAGCAGCCCCTGCGACTTCCCAGGCTTCACCACCGCCAGCGGCGCCGGCGCCTCGTCCGGCTGTTATACGGAAACGTCCGGATAGTGTTTTTATTCAGCCGAAGCGGAAACGGGTTGGGTGAAGAGGTGCTTTTTTGATAGTTGTATCATTTTGGGCTGAAATTTTCCAGTTGGATTTCGGATATGTCCTTCTTTGAAGGAAGGAAGGTCTGTGGTATTTGACGACTAGAAGCTATAAACCCTCCTCTGTGTTAGAAAAGAGGCAATCATTTGCCGAAAATCCGGTCGTCTTACCGGGTCATTATATTTCACCGACAGAGGCCATCACAACTCCACGCGACGGAATGACTTGAACGTGAAATATGCCGTCATTGCTGCTGCTGCTGCTGCTCTGCGAATACCGACTCCCAAGCATCGACATCCCTCACTCACTCGCCACTCGCATTAGAGAAATGAGGTTCATGTGGTATACCACCGCTCGACTTATTCGATTATAATCATTGTCATCAATGACCGAGTCCAACAATATCACCACACATGGCAACGGAGTACAAATCCCAGCCAGGACCAACATATCGCGTTGCGTTTACCGCTAGCTAGGGTAGCGAGCTGACGTCAACTTGCGATCGATCATTCAACGCGACTCCGCTCTCATCGCATCGCATCGCATCGCATCGCCGATGCACTCATCGCTCATGTACATGTACATGTACCCCTCCGAAAAGTATCATATCTTCTCTCGAATACATTTTGGTATCTAGATAGACGTTGATAGCGGGATGCATCAGAAGGGTATATGTACAATTTTACAATCGAAATGACCTTGACTTTATATTTCATCCACGTGCACAACCTTAGGAATACACTGATGTGACATCCAGCTACCCGATCACCCTGATAAATGGAATGAACTGGGGTGGAAGGGAAAGGAATCCATGGAATAACAGACACGGTAGATAGTCAACTTCGAATTCCCAACTCCCCATGCCAAGCCAAGCCACGAATATAATTAAGAAAAGGAAAGCAAGTGCGAGAGCGATGAAACTAGAGAAATAAGAAGATCGAAATAGAAAAGAAAAACCGCTTAACAAAGATCATGATGGAAAATGCACATTTTCGCTCACACCCTAACTTCATTTCTTTTCATACTCAGATGACGAGGTCTGGTCTGTTCTGGTCTGCTGCTTTTAACTCAGTCGCATTGCTAAAAGGAAACTTGAACACATAACAAATGGTATCGGTATTGGTATCGTATCTCGGGGAACTGCCTCGCTTCAAGTTGCTTGCAACTTCCACTTTCACTTTAATTTCAACTTCTTCTTCTTCTTCGCCGCTAGCCTGTGGTGTCGTAGGCTCTACTATTAGGTACCGGCTCTTTGTTCTTTGTCTGTTTACAGACCACCGCGCAGGGCGAGAACAAGGTGCAAGGTTGCGCCGCCGGTTAGGGAGTATTCGGATGCTGTCTTGTCGTCTGCCCTGTTTTTGAGAAGGGGTGTCGGTTAGCTTGTTTCTTGTCTTTGTGTTGGTGTGGATGGGTGCTGTGCTGTAGCACGAGCGGAAGAGGAAATGTGAAGGTTCAGTGAGGGTGGGTGGGTGGATGGAGGAGGGCTGTACATTTGTTTTCCGCCAAAGATAAGTCGTTGTTGGACAGGGGGGATACCCTCTTTTTCTTCGACGCGCTCCTTTATCCGGGCAACCTGGTGTTTATATGGATTAGTTATCTGGCGGGCTGATTGGTGGTGTGGTGGGACTTGGGTGGAGGAATTCTGGCGTAGATTCGGCCGTCGCAGGTGGCAAGTGTGCAGACGGGTAGACGAAGATGGTAGGTAGGCAGGCGGACGTGTACTCACCTTGTAGTCGGGCTCGATGTCGAGCTCGATTTCCTTGCCGGTAAGGGTGCGGACTCTGGAAGTGGGGGTGTTAGCGGGTGGTGATCGGATGGTGCAATGGCGAGAGAAAGGGAAAGTGGAGGCTCACTTGATCAGCATCTTGGCTGGGTGATCACTTTTGTATTAGGAGGTAGAGCGAAGTGGCAAGGACAGTAAGGTTGGTGGGAAGAGTGGACTGTGACTGGAACTGGAACTGGAACTGGGGAGGAAGAGAGAGCCGCGTTGGCGGGGTCTGGTGGGGCGGCGGAAGCCTGATTGCCTGATTGATATTGAGGCTGCTGTGCTAAGTTGGATATAGTGGTGCCCATGTGTATTTTAAGTTTCTCTAGAATGGACCAGAGGGTCTTGTTCTTAATACTGAAAATATCGTAAAGCAAGTCCGAATATACCTGGTTGCTCTTAGTACTGCAGGGGGTCTGACGTGCGGGCCAGGATATTCTCCGAGAGTGCCGAGGTGGCTATAGTTGGAGATCTGTTCTCAAGTTGTTTGGTGTATTGCCAGTGGTTTCTACCAGTGTCTTTTTGGAAATGGGTCAAATATAGTATTTTTATTATAGCTTGAACTTAAATCTTCAGGTTTAAGAACTGCCCAGTGGACTCAAACGTAGTACTAATGTATCTATATATTACTAGTGCTTGAATATATATCGGAAGGGACTCAAGGTCCGGGAACTTCAAGTTACTCAACTTCGTTGATTGTCAATCTTGGAAGGTAATGCTACTACAGGATACCATATTAAATACTGCCTATGTACCACTAGTACTTGTACTAGTTGAACGAAATATCATATCCTGCCAGTGATAATTGGAATTAGAATCTAGTAGTTCTATAATCTACGGTATACTAGTCCGGGACGATGGATCACGTGACCATGACTCAGCAACGACCACTCCAACCAAAAACAGCTTAGCGCGTACCCGAATAGGGCCTAAGCGAAACGAATCCCACAACCCAAGTTATCCGCTCGATCTTCTCCGACCAGCGACAACTAACGACACCCACCACGCAAGCCGGCAAGTTCAGTCAAAATGGTAAGACACTTTCCTTCAGGTTTCCGTGTCATCCAGTCTCCGTTCGAAATACCTGGGTCCTCTGGGACCTCTGCATCCTCGTGAAGATATTGTGCGCCCGGGATCTCGAAATATGTGTGTGCGTTCAATGTGTGCGGCCAACCTCGAATTCAATTTCACCAATCACCCCCCGGACCGAGACCCTCGCAACCCGTCATAGCCTCCTACCGTCGTCGAGAAAATGAATGAATTGAGAGAGCGCTCGGTGGGAAAGATACCCCAATTCGATATCGACTCAAATCGACCAGACCAGATGGATCCAGACCCGAGGCGAAAGACCAAGCTGGTAAAAACTTGGAGAGGTGCGACCGGTTGACTGAGGGACAAGGGAACCAGAGACATGAAACCAAATCTACCACGAATGACCAATGGTTAATTTGTTACTCGTTTTGCTCTTGCTCTGGCTTCCCTTCTCCCGGTCCCGCGCCCGCACGAACCTAAACGCATGCACACACATATCCCGCACATCACACATCCCACCTGCGATCGCGATTTCGAACCCAGACTCGGAGACACTACAACCTGAAACCCTCCCACTTACGCGTGACCCGAAGCTCATACTCTACGTCTAGGTCAACATTCCTAAGACCCGCCGGACTTACTGCAAGTCCAAGGAGTGCCACAAGCACACCCAGCACAAGGTCACCCAGTACAAGGCTGGCAAGGTGAGCCAAAAACTCTCCCCGCGATCCGTGAGAACCAGCGCACTGATATTTTTTTCCCTTCCCTCCAGGCCTCCCTGTTCGCCCAGGGTAAGCGTCGTTACGATAGAAAGCAGAGTGGTTACGGTGGTCAGACCAAGCCCGTCTTCCACAAGAAGGCCAAGACCACCAAGAAGGTCGTCCTGCGTCTCGAGTGCACTGCTTGCAAGGCCAAGAAGCAACTCGCCCTGAAGCGCTGCAAGCACTTCGAGCTTGGGTACGTTTTTCTCTTCCCCCTCCGGCCTCTCTCTTCCTTCCGTATTACCTCCTCTGGAGATGGACCGGGTTTCGAGAGTGTATATTTGTTTTTGTGTGCGATTGGTGCTAATATTATTTCTTCTATAGTGGTGACAAGAAGACCAAGGGTGCTGCTCTGGTTTTCTAAGCGTGGAAGTTCCTTGTTCGGCTTGTGGGTTTCGCATTGCATCCTTCGCTGTGTTTGCGGAGGACATATGATGGCAATGGAAAAAAGGAAATAGGATTTCATACCTTCAAAACAACTCAATGATTACCATATGATGTTTGCATACTCGACTGTAGATGGGTGTTTGGTGTAGAATACCGGGAGTTTCCAATGTCTCGACTCTCCTAGGAATGACGGAGCCTGGAAGTGCTTTCATTGGTCTATGTCCTATTCCTGCTGTGAAATTATCAGGTCAAACTTGTTTAGGGTAAGCTTGGAGATCTGTACCTACTAGCTAGTAGATAGTAGGTACAAAGAAATGAAAAGCGAAATGCGCTATGACACTCACTAGTACTAGTGATATCAAAATCCAGCGCTCTTCTTAATTATCCCCAGAACCGGCATTGCGATCTCTTGCAAATGCTTTCCCATATGGACAATAAGTTCTTTTTCGCTTCTCAGGTTATCTCCACAGAATTGACAACGTTCTTCACGTGGTGGTTCTTTTCGGTAACACTGCTCAATCATTTCCCATAAAGTTTCCATATTCGTTTCTGACCGAACCTTGTGCTCTCGTACTAAGTGTTGGATGAGGTTATCCTTGCGCGGGGAAGTTAGCCCACACTCTGGGAAATAGCAGGCCCAAGCGTCCGGATGCCGGTGTCTTTCCATTTCATGTCGCACCCAGTCTGCTTTGCGCTTGAACGTCTTTGGATCCGGACAGTTGGGAAAGGTGCATGTATAAGGTTGTACGTCCTCAAACACATGCTTCGCCCAATCAGAAGGTTTGATGAACTTCTTAAGCTCGAAGCAGATGGGACACTCAAACTGGGCCGGCAGTCTTTGAACAGGTGGCAGTGGAACACCAGGAGGAAACTGAAGCACGCAACTTGTTTCTTCCCCAGAAGTACAGTTTTGGTAGGAATTAACGAGAATATTGCGCCCCTGGTGCACTGTAGAATCCTGACGATATGGGGCCGACGCTGCATCAATCCCTGCAGCAATACAGTGCTCACCTGATCGGCACGAGTGAGTTTTGATATCTTGAGAGTGCTTTTCCCGCATTCGAGCGAGTCTTTCATAGCGTTGACATTGCTCTTGCGCCAGGCGCTGGGCCAGAGCGGGCTGCAGCTGTGGATACAACTCTATGATCTGTGGTAAAAATTCGTCCCTGGAAGGGAAGAGAAGAGGCAACGGATCAGAAGATCTCGCAGGTAGTGTTTGCTCAATGCCAGTGCTTTGGGCTCCCTTCTGGCTGCCGCTGTCTTCCTTTGGCACTTCGATATCGCCACCAAGTGCTCTGCGCTTCGGCTGTGACCCTGTCTCTGAATATGGAGTTTCAGAACGCGTGTGCCTAGTAGGCACGTCTCTGGGAATCAAAGGTGCTTTTGACAAAATCTCCTTTATATGCGCAAATATGGGCTTTTGGGGGATGGAAAAGACTGTTAGTCCCGTGGAAGGATCAGGGTAATAGGGGTCTGCCCCGGCGCGAAGAAGAAGCTCCACTACCTCAGGATTCCCTCTCCAGCATGCAACATATAGCGGTGTAGACCCAAATTGCCCTCCAGGGGCATCGATATCGATGTCAGGAGATGCCTCAAGGATAGCCTTGACGACTGGGACTAGGCCAAAGGACGCGGCATAGTACAGCGGGTGCGTCGTTTCGATCATTTCGACATCGACATATGGTGTTAGGGTCTGCACCCAAACGCCGAAATTACCACGACGAGGGAGAGTCCGCGAACTAAAAAGCTTATCCACGATCTGATGGTCGTGGTAATCAAAGTTTCGCGACTGGCCGTGACTGGCCCAGAAATGTGCAGCATATTCTAGAAGAGGGTGCTTTATCTCACGCTCAAGAATTGAGTCAATAGAATGCACGTATCCGGACTGAAAATTATCGAGGCATAGATATGTGAGGCAGTTCCGCATTAAAGTCTTACCCGCGATTGATGGATTTAGACTGAAGTATTGCACACTAGAGGAGTTTATCCACTCAGACGTGAGGAAATCCTTGACAGAAGCGTGAGCCAAGTTAACCTTTCCAAATTCATCCTGGATGATGAGTCCTTGACAAATTTCGAGAAGGATCAGAGGAGATATGAGCTTTGTATCTTCATCAACAACCGTAGATGTCTCCTCCAGAACGACTGCTTCATTCAGCTCATCCAATGTAAGTGATCGATTTGAGAAACTGAGCCATAAGAAGGCAGCACGGCTAATCTCCCAATCATTCTCGGAAATCCTTTCCAATATGCTGACATATGTATCTCGCAAGGACCTTGGTAATGTTTGCAGAGCCTCTCGGATTTTCTTGACGGTTCTGAGCGATCTTAGACTATCCAAAGATAATTGGACCCAGCGAAATCTATATAGGAATAGGTCAGCGGCGCTCATGTCACACGAGTGTTGGACTTACGATCCATCTGCACCTTTGGTAATGACCTCCCAAATCTGATCCTTTAGGTCCTGGCTTAATCTCTTCAACATATCGTCGTCTTCTAGGGTGAAACGTATGAAGGTGTCGATGTCGTCTTTCATGCTTCTCACACTCATGTTCATAATGCTGGCTTGCTCTACCGAGGACGTATAGGCTGTGCCCGTGAGAAGGACACGCATATTTGGCAGCTTGCTCTGAATCCTTGAAATGGACTTCAGGATGGTCTCCGAGTGACAGCTCTCATTAAGCGCGTCCACGAGAAGGACGACGGGCTTGTCTCCAGACATGTGTTCGATGATAGCATCTTCAATATTAGCAATGTCGAGTGGGTGTTTATGTGCCCTCGAATTTGTTTTCGCTTCATAGAGAGGCCAAAATCTTTCTAGTATTGACGGATTTGACCCAGAGAGCTGAGCTAGAATTGATCCTAATATGTTCGTCGGATCTTGAGTTGCCACATCGCCAAATGAGCAGTAAAAGTAGCCAAATGTCACATCCTGGACATCTGCCGACATTGAAATCAGCTCATCGACAGCGTGTGAGCTATAAGATATTAGTCAGATTTAGTGCATAAATAATATGTATAATAGACCTACAAAAGTATCGTTTTTCCTGACCCAGCTATTACGCAGTATTAGAGCATTCTTACTAATATACTTGAAAACAGAAAGCTCACATTTGCCCAAGATAAAAAGTGTCTGCTGATACGCATCGTGCCCCCATAGCCATTCTTTGAAAATAGTATCAATGAACCATTTTCCTGTTTGATCCAGTCGCGCTTTCGAAGCTCGTAGATGAAGACTAGTCGGACTGATTGGAGCCAGCCATCGGCAAATGTCTTGATGGGCATTAGAAAACTTTTCGTCTTTCCGAATTTTCAAGTTATCCTCTAGCGACGTTGTAAGATCTCTGAATTTAACATGCAAATCGCGGTGAAGAGCATTGCTATCACTTGTGAAAACAAGCATCAAGCACGATTTCACCCTTTCAAGGCGAACAAGGTGGCCATCTAATTTTTCGCGGGTCAAAGGCCACTCTAACTTTTGTTTCAGTCGCTTGTATTTACTCGCGGGCTCTCCAAGGTCAAGGAGGAGAGACCGAAGCGTCTCATCCGTTTTTGCGAGAGTGGTCGTTAGGAATTCAGAGCTAGATGAGCCCAGCCTTTTCGATTCGGATAAGGGTTGGACTTGGGTGGAGATATGTTCTAGAATACCTTTAAGAGCAAACAACTCTTCACTTAGTTTTCGAGCGTCAGGTCTTGAATCCTTCACCGATTTAGTATACTTCATGAGGCTACCAATGATTTCGCCAACTGCGATTGTAAGTGCAGTTATAGAGAGAGGGTCCGCCATAATTGTCAAACCGTCAAGCCGCGGTCAATCCTGTCTGAAGAAGTCTAAGAAATCAAGGAGGTCGATCCTTTCTTTAGAAGGGGGGTTTAGGTGGGGTTCAGCTGACGGACTTTTTGAACCCCAGCTGAAAACCCGGACTCGAGTTAGCCGCCTGAATGTCTCGTATAACGTGACCGCCCATCCCACTTGGAAGATAAATGCTATATGAATAAGTGCCCAAGAAGCAGCGTGAATCTTCGTATCACATAGGCTCTTATTTTCCTTAAAACTTCAAAGAGCGTTCTCGACATGTGTCATTCCCGGGGGCGTTGGTACACTACAACTTGCCATGACGGATGTGTCAGCTAGCTGCCCAGCTGACGAAACTCAAGATGAATCTGAACTACTTGTAGCCAATGTATTTTATCTGTTCGGAATGATGTGGTTTCGGGCTTGCTGCCCGATTTCACGAGATTTGGTGGAATTATTGGGTTGAACATCACAGGCAAGATACCATCAGGGTGCTGGATTTGAGAAATCTTTCGAAGGAGCACAAAGAAACAACCTACGATGTGACGGAAAGAGAAAGCAGCAGTGTGTAATTCAGTGTGTAATTGAGAAGAAAAGAAATGAATATAAAAAAAAATATATATATATATATATATTTAATGACAGTGAAGCTGGACCAAAGTTCCCTGATACACTCGGCGCTCTTCGGAGATGCTTATGATATTCATTTGAAGACCTTAGCGGTCGCATAAACAAGTTATTCAAGCCACAGCCAAGAATCGGACTTCCTCCAGATCACCTACCTAACCCATCCTGGCGATGAGATGCGAAAGACAAAGGGCGTAACCTATACCCAACGCGGCAACTCACCTTCAGTCATGCCATTCATCTCCCCACACCCACACCCCCCACGCCGAGACCCTCCCAAAGCTAAGACCAACCGTCTCCATCGACCCAATAAAAGGCCAAGAAAACCGATTACTCCAGAGAACACGCCCAGGGATGCTTTACCCAAAGTTTCTCGTCCAGGAGCAGCACCAACCAGAGCTGATCTGCTCGTATCTCGCTTCCCCGGATAGCGAGGGCACCCCCCGCATTTGGCAGAATATCATTGCCATCTCGGCTCTCCTCCGAGAAAGATGGCTGGCACCAAACGTGTCACCCACCTCGGGCCTTCGGACAAGGGCCGTGTGTCATGGCGATAGATAATGTCGAGCCAGCCGCTGTCTGGAATGCAGAATTCCCCACACTCCACCTCCGCCTTTTCTCTCTTCCCCGGACCTCTATCAAATCTCCCTCTAGCGATTTGATTGTACGACACTCCACACCATGACGATGTGGTACTCGCTCGGGGTAGCGTTCTTCGCTGCCATCGGCACATTCCTCTTCGTATGTATTCACTATGACATAGCCTGTTGTTATACTGGCTGTGGTACACCATGTATGCCGTGAAATATCAGCTGATAAAGACTAGGGTTTCGATACCGGGATCGCGACAACGAGTATGAACCCCGGACCGAGACTACAAATTGAATCAGCAATTCTAATGATGAATAGCAATCGCTCACCAAAGCTGGATCGATTATATGTCCCAGCCCTCCAAAGGGCTGACCGGTGCCGTATGTCTAATCCAATCCAATCCCACCAGGGCACCCGTCCCGGGGCCCTTTGTCGTACCCTCGCTAACAAGCACGACAGGTCGTCGCAGTATATATCGCCGGCGAAGCCCTCGGAGCCCTAACACAAACATTCATCGGTGATAAACTCGGCCGTATCCGCTTCATGCAGCTGATGTGTATAATCGTGACAATCGGGACCGTCATCCAAACCGCCTCCGTGAATATCGGCATGTTCCTCGCCGGCCGAGTTCTAGCCGGATACGCTGTGGGGTAAGCTCTCCACAAACACACAACCAGGCTCGAGCCCAAGCCCAGCTAGGCCCACGCCAACTGCAGAAACTTGAAGATTACTAACGTCACGATGACAGCGGAATGGTCGCCACAGTCCCAATCTACCTGAGTGAAATCTCCGACCCACGCGTCCGAGGCCTAATCGGCGGAATATCCGGCTGCGGTATCTCCTTCGGTACAATGATGTCGAACTGGGTCGGATACGCGTGTAGTTATGCCCCCTACGGCCCTGTGCAATGGCGACTCCCACTCGGCATCCAGATCCCCTGGGGTGTGATCATGTTTATCGGATTATCGACGTTTATGCCGAACTCGCCGCGGCAGCTGATTCGTAGCGGGAAGGTTGAGGATGCCGCGAGGGAGTTTGCGAGGATTCGCCGTGGTTTCGAGGAACAGGAGGTTCAGCAGGAGTTTGCGCTTATGCAGGCTCAGATTGAGTATGAGATGGAGAGAGAAATTACTTCTTATAAAGAGATCTATAAGTTGTTCCGGTCTCGCGTTTTGGTGTATGTTTTTAACTCTTTATCCCCCACCCCCACCCGCGCTCCGCGTTGCGCTATTTCCCTTTTTGGAAGCTTGATTATGGGGCGCATCAGGGGCTCAATGGGGGGTTTTGATTGGAATTATTGCTGATCAGGTTACTCCACTAGGTCTATTGCCGTGCAGACAATGACGAGTTTGACGGGCGTGAACGTTATCCAGGTATGTTGAACCGAACTGTGGAGATGCAGACATGTACTAACATTTCACCGTACAGTATTATCAAAGTGAGCCAGACCTCTATTTTACCAGTTATCATGGTATGCAGGTAAAGATCCAGACTAATTGTTTCAGCAATCTTGTATAAATCCCTCGGCATCGGCTCTCACTCGATTCTCGCACTAGCCGCCGCTTATGGAACCATCGCCTTCATTTCCAACGCCCTGACGACAAAGTACCTGACAGATCAGTGGGGACGACGCAAGTAAGTGAGCCGTTCTAACTGGAGCTTAACCTTTTCCCTTCCCTCCCTATATTCGCTTTACCCTTCCCCACATGCTAATGTCACGCACCGCAGGATGATAATTACGGGTCTAGCCGGAATAGTGCTGATCGAGATCTATGCGGCTGTCATGCAGCGAGTGTTCCAGAACACGGATAACCGTGTCGGCAAGGGATTTGCCATTCTCGGTATCTATCTGTTTGTCGTGTGCTACTGTGAGTTTGACTTTGGCTCCACTTGAGAAAGGAAGCAGTCGAAGGGTGGGGAATGCCAGCTGTGGATGAGTGACTGACATGCCTGTGTGGCGCTTGCTTAGATGGAATGCTTAATAGTACGACTTGGTTGTATGGAGCGGAGGTCTTGCCCATAGCCCTGCGAAGTAAAGTTATGGGGTTGGCGGCTGCGTCACACTTTATTGTTAATGTCGCGAGTGAGTTTGCGATCTGATCATGTCTACATTTATGAAAGATCCGCTGCTAATTTTCATTCAAGTCACCGAAGCGGGACCTAGTGCCTTTGCCAATATCCATGAGAACTATTACTATGTTTTTGTGGTTTGTTCGGCATTTTTCTTGGTGATCGCATACTTCTTCTTCCCGTATGTTAAAATGATTCCTTTTGGCCCCAGGCATCCAAGGCATCAAACCAGCTAATTTATTCTTCTAGGGAAACCAAACAAAAAACTCTCGAAGAAGTTGCTGCGGCATTCGGCGACCGTGTTATTGCCGCTGATGATAGTCCCAAGCGAGTGTCGCATGTCGGTGAAGCTCAACACGTTGAATCGGCTCGGACGGCGGAGCCCTGAGCGTGCCTCACCGATGTCGGTGGTTGAGTATTGGACACTTGCAGCTCTGTAGGAAATTACTTTATTGAGCAAAACCAATGAGAAATGTGGAATGTGAACACAGAAACTATGTGTCAAGAAAGTCCTTCCTAGTTGAGAAGGAGTCACGTTGAAGCATAAACGTAATATCGATTCAGGATTCGGATGCAGAGCTGCGCTGCATAGCATCGAGGAGAATATGTAAAATACACAAAGTACGTGGCGACGGACGAAAGGAAGCACACTTACACGCATAAACACAGGCAGGTTTCATTTCAGCCGCTCTGAACTAAGTCGAGCGTAGCTCTTTTAGGAAGAGGTAGAATGGCCCCTTGGACTGGACAGGTCGAATTTCGGAAGGGAGGCTGGCCCATGGGATTTACTCGGGAGGATCGGAGATCTGATTCTAGGGCCTCTGATCCTCCTGAAACGCGATCGTCTGGGGAATTTCCAGATGGAAACACGCGGACATGACATGGGTTAGGTAAGGTTAAGTCGTTTGGCTGCTATGGAACATAGTGTTTTGCCCGATCAACTAGTCTTGTCTCTCCCATCCGATGCAGAAGCCTTTCCGAAAAACTCTATCACCACGCGTTGGTGATCGCTAGTTTCGTGTACTGTAAGTGGGAAAAAGAGTCCGATCGGCGGGGGACGCTACGCTATTCGCCACGACTGACTTCATACTGTACTGCACTGCACTGTCAATCTCTTCCCCGTCTTCTCTAGTACATTCTGGATGCTACCCGGAGTAGTACGGAGTAGTACATACTCCCTGCTGTGGATTTATGTAGGGACACCGTAACCCCATTCAACGGGAATTGGTATTTCTCATAGAGAATTCTTGTCCTAGAATGTCAGACGTCGGCAAACCGTCGGCTCTGCGGTCATTCCCCTTCAAACTTTATCGCCAGGAACACGAGGCCCGAGCCCTCGCTAATGTCGATAGTTCGCACACATTCCGGGGGACACCATGTGTGCGATGGGGATCCCTTGCTGATCGGAAACGGACAAAGAGTCTAACTGCCGTCTATTGATCCGCAATGGAAGATCTTTGTGTCTTCCATGACAAAAAGAAGAATTCTAAAAATTCCGAGTTATGAGATGAAGAGGTATTCACGGTAGTTGTGTAAATGTAAATGTAGATGGAGTACAACTCCAACATCACCGCCCGCGGGAGACCCAATAGGGTAGTCTGTTTTCATCCACCTACGTAACCATGTACTCCTACACAACTACGGTGTAGCTACGCTGATTCATGTACAGATGGATACTCTGTCCAGGTAACCGTACAGAGACT